TGAATATGAGTAAACCTTCTCAAGGTAAATCATTTTTCAAATAACAATTTAGGGAAAAAAAATAGAAAAAGTTTCCAAAACAAACAGATTTCGATTCCTTTTTGTTTTGCCTTTTTCTGACAATATTTTTCTTATGTTCTAATTTTATTAATATTTTCTGTACTCCTTGATGCTGAAGCACGGATACAGTCATTACAGAAACACTGTTTTTAACTTTTGTTTCCATTTGATTTAGCTTGCTACAAGAGTGTAAAAAAATTACATATAATTGTGTAATTAAAAATTATTAATTTTTGTAATATTTATTTCAAAAGTTATACTTAAATTCATTATTAAAAAAAGTTATACTTAAATTCAATAATTAAACAGTTCAAATAATATTTGAGATGCTTTATTGTTAGAAAGTACTATTTTGATTTAATAAATGTAGTTTGCCTTTGAAAGTGAGTTTTCTTTACTATATTGAATTAGTATGACTAATTATGGCATTATATTAATCTCTTAATAACTGTACTGAATTAAAATAATTACGTAAAATATTCTTAACACCTCATATATTAAAACTAGAAAATCAATTATTATACAAGTGATTGTTCCCGTATGATATAACTTCTGCAATAATGCCAAACACGCAATTACCAATGGCATAGTTTAGTGCTTTTTCCAATTCATTATTTTAACTGATACTTTTTTTTTAATTTAATTATTCTGCATATATTTTTTATACAGAACAATTGTAACTTTTTTATAGTTCAGAAATTGTATTTTATCATAGAACAACAACTTTGAAGAATAAATGTAAAACACAATAGTCATATTTAGCTAAAATATTATTTTTTACTTCGTCCTTTCTTCCGTTTATATTCAAAACACAATTAATTAAATAAATTTCTTTTAAGTGAGTATTGACTGTTGAATGCTGGGCTTTTTGTTTTTGCTGAGAAACTCATTCTTAGTTGATACTGAAAGTTTCAAGTGACATTTTTTTGTTGGACATGATTAAGAAATTAGCCACTAGTTTTATTAAAGTTTGTCGAATTCTGATTAGACACAAAGTTTGAATAATTGAGACTTTCAAAAGAAGAAATTTTATTGGGAAAATCTTCGGCCATCTCTTGCATGCAAACTTCAATCATACATAAAGGAATTAGACATGAAAAATGTTATTTTACACTAATACAAAGGGAAAGATCCAAATCATGACCAAAAGTGAAAAGTTTCATCATGTCGAGGGAAACCCAGAGAGAGGCCTTTAACTTCTCTTTTCCCTACAGCTACGCAAAAATTAATATTGTAGATTCACACTGTTAATATGTTTTAATTCCCTTTTACAGTCATTTGGTAAATAATTGAAAAAAAAAATGTATGTTAAAATGTTTAAAATAATTATTCCATGTTTTGTATAGACTTTAAATTTAATTCATTATTACTGTAAACTTGTATATTGTTATTCAACAATTGTTAGCACATCACTCAAAAAGTTGCTTTTATTAGATAAAAATTATTATAATAAGTATGTGCTTAGTTGGGATTATTTCTGAAAATCAATTACACATTTTTAATAATTCCATTGATAAAAATAAATAATTTTTTAAAAACAACAGTAAGTTAAATATGTAATAAAACTTCTTTAAATGTTTAATAATGTAGACAATGCTAATAAGCTTTACACCGAAAAATAATGAAAGTTAAGTCCATCATTATAATAGCAGTCATTATATATGAATATGAAAGGTAGCCTAATTAATTAATCTTGGTATAATACAGTCCATGTTCCACGTTAGAAAAAATGCAGTCATAAATCAAGTTCGAAAGGTAAACATTTTATGACCTGTAAAAATTAAATATATGTGCAATTTATTTATCATATTTTTAATTAAAAAAATTATTTTCGTATATTTAAATTAAAGGCACATGTTTTTCCATTTCTGCCAAATGGGGTCTTCTTTTTTTCTTTCTTATTTATAGCAGCACTCGAACCTTGGCCTCTAACATCATTTTCTTCTTACCATCAAAAAGATAAGTTGTTAATATGGGCAATTGAGTTGGTTCCTCATGAGTTATAGTAAGTTAATTTAACTTTATTTATTTTTATAATGAGTTAAGAGAAGGTTAATTTGTTAATTTGGTAGGTTGACTCACTAAATGAAAAAAAAAATGTGTATATACGATATATCTATCTATTATTATAGAGAGAGAGAATAAAAAAATTAAAAAGTCATAAAAACTTATACAAAGTTATCATTATCATTTGTGTTAACAGCTAGTACTGATTAAATAAGTATTAATAAATATTTAAAATATTTTTAAAAAAAGTGGGTTCAACTTAGCTTATTAGGAGTTGATTCGGTTTAACTTCTTGAGTGAGTTGAATTATAATTAATCTAATATATTTATAAGTAATATTTTTTAAAATTTAAATTGAGTAAAATTATTTATGATCAATAAATCTTTTATGCTAAATATTTGATACAATTCCATTCGGACAATATTCTAATTTTGCGTGACGTGAAGCAGATTTGATTTCTACTGCAGTCTTAAATTCAAAATCAATACTCATGTTAAATTATATAAATGAATTAAGTTTATGATTATATAAACTTGACATGTCGTTAATAACTTATCTTTGTAAGTATATAAAATAGAAACATTAATATTGTCTAAAGAAATATACTAAATATTTTAAATTAAAAATTCATCTGTAAGATATTAATTTAAATATTATTTAATATTTAATTTTATCTTCAAACATGAAAATGTTTATTAAAATATAAAATAATAAATTTTAAAAACTTTGATAATAATAATAATAAAACAATCAATTTATAAATAGTTTTAAAAAAAATTTCACGATTGAAACTTACATAAAGAGATTTGTTTTATTCTTGTAATAAAATTTTCATTATTCTAAAACATAAAAAATAAAATTAAAATATATATTTAATTTCTATTATTGAGACTCTTTTATAAATTAATTTACTTCAAAAACTTAAATTTTAATCCTTATACAAAAATTTTCTACGTTTTTGGTAAACGTAAAGCAAAAACCAGTTGGATGGACAGGGAAATCGTTTTTTTGGTGAACTCGGTTGAAACTGCGAGTCTACCGCCGAGTTTACGAGTCAGCGTTACCTCCCAAGTTATGCTGAACGACAGCGTTTCAACTCACCAATTAGGGTTACCCTTTTCGTGTGCAGGTCAAAACTCCCTCGAGTCCCTGGGACGTTCTGAACCTCCAAGCTTCGACTAGTTTGTGGGGAACATAGAGCTTACGAACAGAGCCTCCATTGTCTTCCTCGCATCCCAGATGAACAAACAGATCGCATCCCCTTCAGTGCCAGATTCAGTGCACAAACTGCGAGCATCAGCGCCATGGCCAGAAACCTTCTGCAAGCAAAACCTCCAAGCTTCAACTAGTTTGTGTGAAAACAGAGCTTCCTGTGGCAATGAATTTTTGCAAATAAAAACGACAACGTTTCACCTTCCAAATTGCAGTAGATTGTGCAATAGGGTCCTAACAGAACTCCTTTTCCTTATATAAAGATTTGGTAATACGTCCTACGTGGATTTTAAACTTCGTTATTATGTTTTGCTTAGTTATTTTGATTTTTTTAAAAATATTTTTTTTTACGAGTTTACAGGCCTTTCAGGAGTTTATTTATATTTTCAAGTTTAACGAACTTCATTATAACACTGTTAATAACCGAATAAGAATTAGAACATAATTTTTAAAAAAATATATATTTTAACGCATTATAATTTTTTTAAATAAATAAAACATTATATTTAGTTAAAAAAATTATCTTCATAGCATATTTGATTATTGATTAATAAATATTTTTATTTTTTTGCTATTATATTTTTATTTATTTTATATTTTTATCTTTTATCTTACAAATAAATGAATAAATTATCAATGTTAATATTTTTATTATGATTTTTTATAAGTAATTATATATATAATACACTTTCTTATATAATATATTAATTTTTTAAAAAGAATTATTTTCTAAAAGATAAAATATTTATTATCTTTAATACAAAAAAATTACTACTCAAAATTTTATTAGACTAACTTTATAATATTTGCTTATTAATTAAATTTTTATTTATAAAATAATTATTTAGATATATCTTATATTTTTTTTAACTATAGTATAAAGTCTATGATATATGTAAACTTTTTTTAATAATTTACTAATTATTATTATTATTATTATTATTATTATTATTAATTTATTTATTCATGAAATTAATAATAGTTCTATACGTTAATATATATGATTTTGGACAATAAATAATGAATTTTAAAATTTAAATATATATTTGTGTGGTTTCTTAAAAATTTATGTTTTTAATGTTTCATTTTTAATTTTTTTGTAGAAGTACAAATTTTTTTATTTATGATTAAAAAATATATTAAATTTTTTATAATTAACACTTATTTACTTTTTATCCATATTATCATAACACCATTAATAATAAAAATTAAAAATGTAACAGACTTAAATACTAAAATATAAATATTTTAAATATAATAAATAATTTATATATGAATATGAATTATAATAACATTTTAAAAAGTGCTTAAATAATATTTTAGTCCCAAAAATATTATATTTTTTAATTTTAAATCTTTAAAAATACAAAAAAAATATATTATTACAGTCCTTAACGAGAGACTAAAATTATGTATTTTTATTAAATATAAAACTAAAAAATTAATAAAATTTTATAGAGACTAAAATTTAAAACCATGATAATTTTTTAATTAAATTATTATTTAATTCTTAAAAAAAATTAAGGAATTTAAAACTCTTGGAAGTAAAAGATGAAATAGAGCTGCGAAAGAGTTTTTTGTGGTTTTTTCGTATTTGTGGAATGATATAAAGAAAAGCAGTCTTACTCCTATCCAAATTCCGAAGCTGTTCACTTCCTCGATTTCTCTTCTCTCTTCTTCCCCCCCCTCTCTCTCTCTCTCTCTCTCTCTCTCCCTCAGATACCTCACACGCTTACACAAGCTTTGGCTACTGCAACACTCGTGTTACTTCACAGACACTCTCCTCTGCTCCACTGAATCCAACATCACAATGGTAACAGCATAGCACGAGACAAAGCTTCATTTGGAACAAAAAATGGTGGTGGAAGAGCACAGCAATGTCAATGGGTGGCCACCGATTGGGGCTCCACTTAACGTCCACAAAGACGAGCATTGGACCAACTTCGACAGCTCCGTCAATGCTGTCTCCTTTGGCTTCGTCGCCACCGCCATTCTCATCTCCATGTTCCTCGTAATGGCCATTTTTGAGAGGTTTCTCAGACCCACTTCGCCGCCGCTATCGCCGTCCGGTCGCCGGAGCCCTCCGGACGCCGAGGCCCAGATCGGTTTCACGGGCAAGCTCGGTCACCCGTCACCCAAAGTGAGTAAATATTTAATAAAAAAGTTGTTTTTTCTATCATGGGTTTTGCCCTCATTTGCATTCCATTTTTAAAGCCTTTAACTTTTTGCTCTAAATATTGTTCTTTTTGTGTGTTTGTGTGTTTTACTTTTGGATTATTTCTCCTATCTTAATGGGGAATGCAGAGTGTTCTCTATTTTTTCCTTTTTGCTTCAAACCATGTTTTTTCACTTGTTTTTTGTTTTAATTTCTGAGAAAGTGATGATCATTTTACTCACATTAAAAAGTTTTGTTGCTTAATTTTGTTGTTTCTAGGTTGCTTCCCTGTTTTCAGTTTTGTTTTTTGCATGTGTTAAATATCATTCACATAAATTGCTTTTTCTGCTTGATCTCAGAATGCTTGTCATTACTACTAGTCTTGTTCATTTTTCTGATTAATCTCTGGGTTGTTTTATTCATGGTGTTTTTTGTGCTTATCTTTATCACCATCATCTGCAATATTTTCCTTATTTCCTTTAGAGTCTTTCTGGTATTGGCCTTCCGTTAGAGGTTTTCCTTGTGACTCTTCACTTCTTCAATTGTCCAAACTTTCAAATGTTTATGCATTTTCTTGATTTGGTAAAGTTATGTAATAATAGCTTGTTGTGGTTGTTAATCCCCCACTTCCCTTTTGAATAAAAGTCTGAATTTACACAGGCAAATCCAATTTTCTCTTTAATGGAAATTTAACTTAATAGCTCGAATTCAACCCCACCAGTGTTTTTCATTTGCACGTTCTGTCAATTATCTTAGTTATGATTTATGAGTGATCTGTATTGTCTCCTAAGTTTTATTAGGAGATGGCCCTCCATGGAAGCTTTCTACTGAACACTTGGTCCCTATTCATGAGCCTTAAATTTTATATGTACATATTTGTTATTAAAGTTGAGTCCCACATTGTCCTTGTTGTTCATCAGCTCCAGCACCTCCAATCTTTGATGACAAGGTGTGTGGCTGGTGTTTGTGATCTAAGACTGAGACATATGGTCAACGTTTATATGTTAATAGAGAAATAAAGTGACCACATGATATATTGTATTTTTATTCTACATATATATTCTCTTCTTGGCTCATACCACTTTAATGTAGTATCCTATGATGGACCAGTACCATGTAACAATTGTGTTGTCTACCTTGTGCCTTTCCTTTGGTGTAACACCCTGGGCCCACCTTCTTATCCAATCTCAGTTTAGTAGGAGGCCACAACTTGATTGGGACACTGTCTACATTGGATTTGTTTCTTTCACCTTTTTGAAAATTATTAATGATTCTCTAGCATTAGCCAATTAGGTTTAGAAGACAAAAGCTCCGTGATCAACTAATCCAGAATTTAATAGCGTATTTGTTTGGCATTTATATCACATTAAGGAATCTCAGTACGGTGTTAATGGAATATAGATGCAGAATATGGACTTGGAGAAAATGCTCCACACACTTTGGCTTCTGACAGGGATTCTTTTGATTGTTTATGGTAATGACAGTAGCCAGAGACCATGTTGGAATTTTCTTCTCTATTTCTCATTACCCAAATTATGAGATGTATATAAGTCAGCTTGACAGTTCTGTAACAAATCATGCCCGTAAGGAAATTGGATAAGAAAAGAATTTAACAGAAGGGTAGAAATATAACACGTGATTCTTGAATTATTAATCTAGTAGTAGTGACTTCAAGGTAAACTTTATGAGGTAAGGCTAACCTTTTAAAATTTAATTGTAAGTAAATTGTGAAAACTCTCAATATGCTCTATATGGGCAGAACATTGACTTTCAAGTTCAAAGGCATATATTATGCTTCATTTTCTGCGGATCCACGTATCTTGAAGTATGTTTATATCTAAGTGGTTGTCTTGCGTAAAATATATTATAGTCAAATATATGATATAAATGTTTTTGTTTTTTCATCTCTTTATTTCATTTAATCTGATATAGAGGTGACTGCCACTAGGAGTTTAGGAAAAGATTCCTTCTACCTTGTGAATCTTATACAGTGAATTCTAATCACTATGGAGACTGATGGGGTGTTTTCACTAGCTAGATCTTGGTTTGTAAGTTTAGTATCAGATGCAAAAAACTTCACACTAAAACTCTGTTCAATGATTGATTCTCTCAACAATGATAGTCAATTTGGGTGTCTCTTTGGTGTTTTACCTACAATTATTTTAGCCCCCCTTTGTTTTAGAGAAAAAGATTGTGGATGATACTGGTCAATCCACTTTCCCTGTGTGGACGCATCTTAGATCCATAACTGCTTACTCTGTCTGACATAGCGTGAAATGCTATTTGTAACTGATAGCGTCCTTTTCTTTCCATCGCACAGCTGTCATCAATTCATAACTAAATAATCTGATTGTTTCTTCAGCTAAAAATCAGTGATAATAGAGAGTATTTATCAATTTCTTTCTCCTTTCTGATATTTTACTGTCTTGCAACTTTTGGATGAGGTTCTCTTGATGAATTTGCTTTTTCTGTTGTAAAACCAAACTAGAAAATAGTAATGCAGCTGTTGCATTACTGGTTTTGTATACATAATGTGCATGAACTCGAGTTAGATGATTGCATACTCTACATTGCTTAGCCCTGAAAGATTTTGTGTTCATCAACAATATATTTTATTCTATCATGTGTAAGTTTGTCTCATGATGCTAAATGTAATGGTTGAGGGGCTTGAAAGTACTTACACAGAACTTATGGAATTTATAAAAATAATTTATGACTTCTACAAACTCTTTTTAACTTGTTTCAATAAATTTCGTAACCAAATTTATTATATAAGCTATCATATGATAAGAAGTTGTTGAATATGCATTATTTAAGCTATTTACCTATATGCATCAATAGACATAGAGCAAAGAAGAAGCATTCGTTGTCAAACATGTTTTAGTTTGATTTCTGGTCCATTTTCGTTGTAACAGTAGTGCAACTCTTTCAATCATCTTAGGTATGTTGAATCCCAGAATTTGATTAATCTATTGCAGACAGGAGATAACTTCATTTTTATTTAAATTATATATGATTTTCATCCTGGTTTTGTAATTTTTGCAGATGAGTGTATATGCCAGTGGGGTTTCAGTTCTGATGCCTGGAGATGAGATTCCTACATTCATTGCGCACCATGCGCCGTGTTGTCCAGAACGGATGTCATGGCCTTCTCATCAGCATGACACGTTACCTTGTTCCACTTCCAACACCATTCCTAACATCAATGAAGTCTGAGAGATCTTAATTCAGACCAAGTTATGCATAATTGCATTGCATCAAGGGCTTGATTCATTTTCTGTGAAGAATAGACTGTTTCTTGGGTTTGCTTTGCATCCATTTTTACCAAGAGGAATTCTCTTTAGTCTCTATAGTTTATATAACATGTAAATTAGGATTTAGTTTAGGCCAACCGGGTTGGCAATTAGATATCCTTCTTTGAAGTAAAAGGTCAATTTCTGTCCATATGTGCCTTCCTAATTCTTGTCCATGAAAAATGAGCTTTTGGGGAGGTTTTCTTGTGTAAATCAATTATCAATAGATTGAATATTGAGCCCATCAACTGGGTAAATCTTCTTTGAGCCTCCTCTAGCACATAATTTTTCTTTAATCTCCATATTATTGGTAAGATAGGATCATATCTCATTATGATTGATTATAGAAAGTAAGAAGCTGAAGAAAAACTATCCAATTCAATTAGGTAATATGTTACAAAGTGCGTTTAATGCACATTAAGGTGCCGGACAACTTCATATTCTCTCTCGTTTGGTGGTTAACATATAATTTAAAATAGAGTTATGATACATAATTATTTGTTATTAATTTTGATGAATTAATTTTTTTTATGAGTGCAATTGGAAGTTACGGTTTGATGTGTATAAGTAATAGATAGAATAATGTAAATTTTTTTTATAATCACGTATTGTAGAATGGTAGTTGTGACAGATAGAAGGATAATAATAACGAAAATAATAATTGAATAAAAAGATGTTCTGACTAATAAATGCTTTAAATTTTTTTCTCCTTTTTTTTTTTTGGTTTTTGTTTAATAACCACTGTCAAATTTAAATAAAGAACAATAATTTTTTTAGTTGTTTAGTCCTACATCGTTTGACAAATAAAATCAACATTAAGAACGAGTTTCAATATAAAAAAAGATTTTATATTGTGATTCAACAATGCAATTGTAATATCATTTTATAGAGTATGTAATAATACTTTTTCGGTAAATATATTTTTGATAGATTTAATAACATGAAATTATTTGATAATATATATATATATATATATATATATTTTTTAAATATATAATGTATAAAAACTAAATTTCATTAATTAAGGTTTTGAATGGTTGAAAAAGAACGTGTATATATCGTTATACCAAACTACTCGTGTCGGAACTTGAATCCCATTCAAAAATTGTTGAGAAAGAGAAAGTTAATACCATCCCAACTATAAAAACCTTTAAGATTTTGCGGGGGGAAAAAAAAAAGGATAAGAGTGTGTTAAATTTATTTATTTTTATTTGAAATTAAAGTTCTTAAAATTTTGTGGGTATTAAATTATGGGTTACGCTAACCTTTTTTTTTTTCTTGCAAGTATTGGTTAAAGAATAATCTTAAAATTTGAAGTAAAGTATATTTATAATTTTTTTAACCTTACGGCTCAATCCTTACCATTAAACTTAAGCATTTAAAAGTAATAATTTTAATTAAAAAATATACTATTATAATAAAAATATAAAAGTACAAGTTCATAACATTTTATTATTATTGATTACTTAATCCTAAAAATAATTAAGATTAATAATTTTTATAATTTTTAATTAATATCTTATGAATATTTATTAACAATTTTCTTAAATTATTAGGCAATTGTGCTGGACCTAACTTTCTTTAATCTGATAGAAAATTAGGAAAAAGGTGCATTAATAAAAAAAATTATTTTTCAGAAAGATTACACAATTAACTAATTTAAGTTAATGAATTAATACTACACTAGTTTAGTAGTTTTATTTAAAAATAAATTAACATATTTTAATAATTAAAAAAATAAATTTTATATATTTTAAATATTTATATATAAAATAAAAGTATTTTAAACAAAAAATTTTAAAAAATTATTTTGAGTTAATTTTAGCAATTACAAATATTATATATTAAAATGATAAAAATTAATAAAATTAAATAATTTTAAAATAATTGTTTTATTGTATAGTGTCAAATTTTTAAAGTTAAATATCAATAATCAATATATATTAATAATAATAAATTTAAGAAACAAGGTTTTAAAAAATAAAGATAAATTTATAAATATAAAAACAAGTATTCACAAAAAATTTAAAATTTATATAATATAATACGAAAAGATTAAACAAAAACTTTAATTTTTAAAATTTAAAATAAAATTAACAAAAATTTAAAAAAAAAAGGTAAAATAATTACAATAAAATTAATTTCATGAATGTTTCACTGTCTAAATAATATCTTATCAAAAAACTTTGTTGTTGCTTATTTGACTATATAAAAATTTAAAATAATATTAATTGTCATTATTTTATTAATATTTTTCTTTCATATAAAATATTGAAAAATGTTACTTAAGATTAATTATAAATAATAAATGATTAATTTTTTTATTAAAAATATAAATATTTATTGTATTTTTATATTTTACATTAGTGAATGATTTTTTTTCTTTACAAAATATATCACTTTTAAATGCTTAAAGTTAGTATTAAAAAATAATATTAACAAAATCTTAAAATATTTATACTATTTTTTGTTACTAAACATTTGTACTAGTTAGTTGGGTAATTTAAAAGTAAACAAAAATCTACCAACAAAGGGTAAATTATTAAGTTTAACAATTAATTTTAACAAAATATTATATTTCTTGATTTGTGTAAATTGTTTCTTAATGAACAAATAAAAAAAACAAAAATAGTTTTTCCTCATATTTTTTATAAATAACAGATAATTAATTTATTAATATTGATAAAAAGTAATTATGTATTATTAAATTAGTAGAATTCTCTTTGTTTATTGGATAATCCATTAATAGAAAGAAAGATACATCCATTTTGTAAGTCTCACAAACACTATGAGACGTGCAAATTTAAAGTGTATTTTTCTTTCTAATTGAAGATTTAATAAATGAAAAAGAATTTTTTTCTCTAGTATTAAATAGTTAAGTTAGTTAAACGACTAAGTATACTCACTTATATAATAAAGTTTTGTTAATCTCAATTTTTGATGGAATAATTTAAATATTTAAAAGCAAAATATTATTATAAAAATATATTTATTATATAAGCTATAAAATTATAATGAGTATTTTTTTCAATAATTTTTTTTTATTCTTAATTGTTGAATATCAGTCCTTGAAGTCAAATATAATATTTTTTTAGGTTAAATTAACCTGTTAGTCCTTATATTTTCTTTAAAATTTTAATTTGGTCTTAATAATTTATAATTTTTTAATTAAGTCCTTACAGTTTTAAAAAATTTTAATTACATTTTAATACAATTTTAATATTTAAAAGAACGCATACAAATTTTGAAAAAAATAGTTCTATTAATATTTGACTTCTCAAACATAATACTTTATAGAATAGAGGTCAATTTACTAATAAAAAATAACGATATTAATTACTACAAATTTAATTAAAAAAATAAACTACAATAATTGAATTAAAATATAAAAACTATAAAAACTAACAGATTAATTTAAACTTTTATATTAATTAATATTTTCATATTAATAAGGGATGAATACGTTATTAACCACGAACTTATAATAGACAAGAATATAAAAAATTATATATTGATGCACTTAATTATTTAATAAAAAAAAAACACCTGAGGAAGAATACATTAATGGATATGGAAAGGTATGTTATTCACTTATTCCTCTTCCACTACATTTCAATTTTCAAGAGTGACCCTTTTGAATTTCAGTGGAGGCAGATATTGACGAATCCCCAAAGCTCTGAAAAAGTGTTAAAATATGAATTCATTGTCCATCACACAGCCACTCTTCTATCAACATAACCATGATTGATAGTACATTAATTATTTGTCTCTTGCACTTTAGAAGAAGAAAAAACCATAAGAATGAGTCCAAAATGGCACCATAAACTATATTATCAGCATTACATTTCAATTGAAAACCATACAAAATGAGGACCACTGTCACTCATGTCACTATGTAAGACCACCCTTCCAACATGGCTTTTCCCTCCATTCTAAAATCAAATTCCATTCTATATGCTTTTCTTAACCATTCATTAAGAATACTAATAAGAATAGAAATAAAAATTAAAATAATTAACACTTATGAATTTTAAAATTAAAATAGATATTTTTTGCTGATAAATTATGCTATCAAAGTGGCGCATTGGGGCTAGCTAGCAGGCCTCGAGATGCAAAATCCATGTGCAATAGCATTACACTTGCTTTTATAAAAATAATTAAAAACAAAAACACTCGCTTTAGTTTTGTGCGGAACCCACAGACCAGGGAATAAAGTTTAGGAGGAAACCGGCGTGGAAAAAAAAAAGGGTAAAAAAATTAAAAATATCCCACCATAAATATGTTATTCGTATTTTAAAAGCATCAATAAAAAATATTAAATATATCTTATTAATATTTTTATTTTTTTTAAATATAATAAAAAATTATCAACAGAAATTAATTTAAGTAATCAAAGGTTCAATATTATTTCAGCAGAATTTTAAATTTTAATTTTTGTATATGTAAAAAAAATTTAATAATAAATTTACTAATTATATTTAAGTGCACGAGTTGAATCAGATTAAATTGAATAAAAAATTATTTTTTGATATTTTTTTAAATTTTTTTTTATACTTTCTTCTAATTTTTTATTTTAATAATTATAAAATTAAGTTGCTTTAAAATAAATAATAAGAATATCAAGCGTCAATCAAAGAATAATTTTATCTCATGATTGATTTTTCTGAGATTTTACGATAGTTGTTGATTTTATTGATTTTTCTATGGCATTCTGAAACAATTAGTGTTTCATCAGATAGACAATAGTAATATTTAAAAAATAATTTTGTTGACATTGATATTTAAGTTTGACTTTTAATAATTAAAAATGATTTTTTTCATTTTAAAAATATTTATTATATTTGATTGTGAATCAAATATAAATTATTTTTCATGTTAGCACAACTATTAAAAGAATTACCTTGTAGAAAATTCGATCTCGCAATCAACCAAAATATTTACGGTGCCACCAGCATAATTCATCATTTATGTGAGTTAATTTATAAAATCTTTATTTAAATTTTTATTATCATTTGAAGATGTCAAAATAAAACTAAATATATTTTAATTTTTTGTGAAAAACAAATAAATAAAGTTCACTTAGTATATAATATATTGCCTACTAAATAACAATAGATAAATTTTAAATTATATATATATATATATTTTTAAATTTAATATATTACATATATATATTATGAAATTGGGTGAGCCAAATTACTAAATTAAGTAACTTAAGTCAGGTTAATATTTTTTTATTAAGCACAAAAGTAATTTAACTTTATTTAATGCATGTTTAAATAGTAAAATAAGCAAGGACGCACATTTTAGACCGTACAAGACACTCTCGGTTGCTTCCAAACACGCACGTCAACTCCTTATGCTACTGTTATGAGCCTTATGACTAATTTTGACATTGCCATGAAAAATGTAACACTTATTTTTAATCATTTGAGATTTGACTACGCATTGATTAAAAAAAACCATCCCTATCATACACAAGGTTTCCAGCATTGCAGCTAAGTGTATATATATTCTTCTGTTATTTCAGTTTGTTAACCTGTTAAGTTAAATACGTGGTTTCTCTTCTATTTTAATATTTATATTTTTTTAGTGTTTTACTTTTTTAAGCATTAAATAGGTTGAAAAAAAGAAAAACAATATATGTTTGTGGTAATATATTTATTTTTAAAATGATTATATTCTTATGATCTAAATACAATAAAAACGTTGTATGTAATGTGATACATTCAACCAACATGTTAAGGATTTGAAAATTTTTTCTTTTTTAATTAGATATTGTCATATTAAAGTTAAAAATTAGATACATTGCTCTTTCAACAATGAAAATTCCATAAATAATATTTGTTCTTGTACTGTACGGGAAGGTACTTAGATGTATTACTGTTACCGTAGAGAGTGAATAAGTCATGTTCAGAGGAAACGCAATCTTTCCCAACCTACCAACTCATTATTCAGTGCGGTACAAGAAATCAATTTGCAGAATAGAGTGATCCAGGTACTCTCAAATTTAATTTTTTATTATTTATTTTTAAGAGTATATTAAATTTCAGTTTTCTAATAGTTTTTATCATTGCATTTATGCATCGTAATATCCACAAATTTATACTTTTTTATATTGTCTACGATTGAACTCTTTATAGGCATGTGTCTAAGTAATTACAAATCTTCTTCCCTTTTATTTTTATAAATTCACTTTATAAATATATTTTATGCTTTTAAGATTAAAAAAAATATGAAGTTAATTCAAATGCACTAATAAACTAAGTTTTTTTATAGTGTCAAGCAATCATAAATTGTTATATTAAAAAATATTAAATTATGAAATAGTTAATATAAAAAACTTATCTATGATATATTTTTATTAGTTAACAGTATAATTTTTTTATATTGATAATATGTTAAATTAAACTAAAATATATATATTAAGAGAATAAATTAAAAAAAGATAACTAGCACAAAAAAAATTTCAACTAAAAGTAGCCTCAAAGCTCTTATAGAAACATTGACTTGTAATATTTACACCCGAAGTGCATTAAGTCATTCTCAGATTGAAGAAAGTCCATTAATAATAATGAGTTATTAGTACTATGACTTGTCACTAAGCTCACCTATTCCACGGTGGCGCCACAAACCGCCACCACCAACCACCAACCACCCACCCACCCACCCAGCCCAACATTTTAAAAATCCTAGATAAAGATGAAGCATTCCAATGACACAAGTGGATTTTCCAGTGTCTCCCTAACAAAAGGCCATTTCCCCTCTCTCGCCTGAATTTCCTTTTTCCGGCCACCATTCTCCGGCGGGCCGGTTCTGACCCATGCAGGTGACTGGATGGTTTTTCTTGCAGATGGGCTCCGACCCAAGACAGACCTAGCTGCTCCCGTTCCGACACCGGTGGTCAGTGACCTTGTCCGCCGGAAGGAATTCTCGCCGGAAGCTCTCCGGCGACGAGTTCCAACACTGTCTATTTTCTGACCCATTTGGTCCCTGCACTGAACAAACTTCATAGACCCAACATTCTTTGTTCCATAGACCATTCTCTCTCTTCTGCTGCCATTTTCACTGGGAAAGGAGCGATTTTTCTGCATTTTGGCATGAGATTTTTCGATCCTTTTGCGGATTTTTTCTCTCTCTTCTCTCTTGTTGGTGATTGAAGTAGCTGTGGACATGGTTTCGCTCAAGCTCCAAGCTTTATCTTCAGCTTTGTAAATAGACAATATCTTCTTATCAACCTTGCCCAATTCTCTGAACTTCTCAAAGGTCGTGTTCTGGAATGGTTTTTGAGGTTTCGATTTGGCGATGGTTGTTGGGTTCCATTTGGGAGTTTCCGAGAGTACTTCCTTCACTTTCTCTTTTTCTATTGCTCTGTTGCAAGGTTTTGGATTATCTCGAGAAGTGAGAGGTTTTGGTGAATCATGGGATTTTCTTGACGATGGAAGTGAGGAATTTGAGGTAGTGTTGGTGCTCACACAACAACCCATAACCGTGTTGGAGTTTTTACACAATCTGAGAAACTTAGTGTTTGGTTTCCTTCAAAGAACTAACATTGTTGAAGGCGTGTTCAAAGGGCGTTGGGTGTCCTCAATGAGGTAGCTTTCCATTACAGAAATTGCACAGCAAATGTTAGTTAAGGAAGAGAGTGAATTGCTGGGGTCAAATGGTGTGCATTTATTGTGAGATCTCCACTGGTCACACGAGCAAATGTTAGGGACAAGTTAAACATTTTAATATGGATATAATATAATTTTTATACCAAAACCCTTTTTATCTCTATGTGACATTACTTATCTTATTATTGATTTTTTTAATTTTTTTAATTATAACAAAATTATATAATTCTCACGTACAAATAATATTTCTCTTTTAATACAAAAGACAAGAAAGAGTGAGGAAAAGTTAATTAAAATGCACATGAATTTGGATGGATGGATTCAGCCAAAAATTAATGGGACTTATTTTTTTAATGGATCTGGTAGGGGTGGCAACTGTGTTGTTTTATTTTGGTCCATGCTTTCGTAAAAGTGAATATACATATTGAAAAAAAATAATTAAAAATACCTGCTGTGGGTGATTGTTATATGGGGATTTGTGAACTATCACCTATGCCCCATCTGTCTTGTCTTGCCAGTTTTTATCAGGTAAGGCGAACGATCGGTCCAGTAATCCTGTATGTTAAATAACATTAATAATACGCGCATTTGAATATACTTTTTTTTTTAACAACTTTTTCTTATATATGATTGATAAACATTTTAAAATAATTAAATTAACTTAAGAAATAAATTTACAAAAAAAATAAATTTTTAAAAATATTAACTAGTTACAACTATATACAAAATTTATTATTTATTTAATGTGAATATCTAATTTTATCCAAATTTCATCTAAAATAATAAATACATAAATAATAAAAATACAATAAAAATTAGATGAGATTTTAAATTTTAAATCCATAAGTTGTTAAAATTTTAAATATGTAGATATGATTAATGGGTAGATTTTAAGAAAGGTGAATGAGATGTTTAAAAAAAGTGTCAGAGGTAGCCATTAGAAAAATAGAAAGATAAAATCTGTTTTTAAAAAATAAAAAATAAATAAATAATCTTATTAAATAGGACTTAAGGTTAAAATATTTGGCTATAAATAAAAAGTTTAAGGCTTTTGAAGATTGAATTTACACTTGTTTTTTTTTTTTTTATGAAAATTCAATATAAAGAATCAAACTTTCCTAGAGATTGAGACAAAGAGAAGAAAGTAGAAAGAATTTGAAAAACAAAAAGGAAGAGAATTTAAGGGAGCATAACGAGACAAAGAAGGAAAGAAAATAGAGAGAATTTGAGAGACAAAAAGAAAGAGAATTCAAAGGAGCATAACGAGACAAAGAGGAGAGGAAAAAAAGGAACTCACATAATCAATAACACTTTAAAGATTGAAGAAAGGAGCTTCACCCTAAACAACCACAGCTGATAAAAACAAGTAAGGACTTATTCATCATTTTTTATATTTTCGTATGCTTTTTCAATGTTTTCTTTGTAAGATTTCCATCTCTTTCGTTTTCTTCTTGCCTTCACCCTAGTTTTTATAAAACCTAAAAAAAATCCAAAAAAACCTATTGTAGGAAGTTAAATTTCAAAAATAAATTTTAAAATTAAATTAAATATAATAATTCAATTTTGTAGGAGGTTAAAAAATAAAAAAAATATAAAATTTAAATTTAAATTCAAATATTCAATTTTTAAAATTTAAAATATGATTTAAAAATTGTCAAAGTAGTTTCTAAATTTTTAGGAGAGAAAATAAAAAAGAAAAAAAAAATTGATTATTGATTATCAAAAAATAAGGGATCATAGAAAGTTAGATCCTTTATTAAAATAAAAATAAATAAACAAATAAATAATACGATCTAGAGTTTCAAAAAATGCCTATAGATAGGAAGTTTAAGTCTTCAGAAAGCGGAACACTTTTTTATGATGAAACAAAAGGAGAGAGAACTGATACCTTTTAGAAAGCACGAGAAAATTAAGAGTTTAGGAAATGAAGTGAGGGAAAAAAACTAAGAGAGAGAATTGAGAAAATTTGAGAATTCAAGAAAGGGAATATGACGAGATTAAGAGGAGAAATAAGAAAGTTACAAAAAAAAATATTCGAAGAAAACTAAGGATTCTCAAAACTCATGGAATCAATAATACGTTAGAGGTTGAAAGGAAGAGTTCCAACAAAAGAACCATAAGCTATCACGAGAGAGCCTATCACGAGAGAGCCGACAAAATAATTAAGGACTTATTTTATTTTTTTAATTCTTTTTCTTTTTGTATTGTGTTTCTTTTTTCTCTTCTTCTTACATTTTTATCCTCACTCGTCCATACAAAATTTATTTAAAAAAAATATAATCTCGTGAAACCCTAAAAATATTTTTCTTTTTTGCCTTTCCTTTTACTAAAAATATAATTTTATCAAACCCTAAAAAAGCTAATTTGTAAAAAACCCTCCCTTCTTTTTGTCCTAAAAATCATAAGGTTTATTTTTAATGCTAAAAAATCAATTTTTTTGCAAACCCAAAAAAGGAACGAATAATTTTTTTCTCCAAAAATTCCTGTTTCCAATGATAAACCCTAAAAATTTCTAACCCTAAAAAACTCTAATTTTTCTCCTAAAATTCATTATTTTGACCCAAAACATCCTAATTTCCTCCAATATCCTTTCTTTTTTTTAAAAAAAAGTCATCCTTTTTGTGAAACCCTAAAAAACTCTAATTTTTTTCTCAAAATCCTTTTTTTATCTTAAAAATCCCTTTTTGGCAAACCATAAAAAACTTAATCTTTTTTTGCTAACTTAGAAAAACCCTTTGAAAAATCCTAATTTTTTTTAAAACCCTTAATATTATTTTTTCACAATAAAAAAACAATTTCTTTATAATTCCCATAAAAAAAATAATTTCTAAATCAAGAAAGAGTTATTTTTCATTACGTCTATTTGCATTTATCCTTACTCTTTTTCATTTATTCCATATGTTATTCTTTATTTTCTCTTTGCATGTAAAAATTAAACTTTTGTTATAAAAAAAATATTTTAAATCTACGCAACGGTCAAATAATTTTGATAGAACAGTGAATTTACCTATCAAAATCTATTAAAATTGCTTGGTCATTGCGTGGATTTAAAATATTTTTCTACAATAAAGATTCAGTTTTTATATGCAAAGAGGACATAAAGAATAACATATGGAATAAATGAAAAAAAGCAAGGACAAATGCAAATAAAAGTAACAAAAAATAACTCATTCTTGATTTAGTTTTATTTTTTTTGTAGGATTTACAAAGCAATTGTGTCCTTTTTTTTTGTGAAAAATAATGATTTTTAAGGACTTTTAAAAAATTAGGGTTTAGGGTTTCTCAAAATGTTTTTTAAAAGGGATTTTTAAGAGTGAAAAAAAAATAGAGGATATTGGGAGAAAATTAGGGTTTGTTGGGGTTTTTTAAAAATAATGAATTTTAGGAGAGAAACTAGGATTTTTTAGGGTTTATCATTGAAAAAAGGAATTTTTGGAGAAGAAAAATTATGCCTTCCTTTTTTGGGTTTGCAAAAAGAATGACCTTTTAGTATTAAATAAAAAAACCTTATGATTTTTAGAACAAAAAGAATGGAGGATTTTTTACAAATTAGGTTTTTTAACGTTTGATAAAATTAAATTTTTATTAAAAGAAAAGAAAAAAAAAGTTTTAGGATTTTACGAGATTAATTTTTTTTTTTTTACTTTGTATGGATGAGTGAGAATAAAAAAGGCAAAAAGAAAAAAAGAAAGAAAGAAAGAAAGCATAAAGAAGAATTAAAAAAAGATAAGATAAGTCCATATTTGTTTTGCCAACTCTCTCGTGGTGGTTTAGGGTTCTGTTTTGGAGCTTTCTCTTTCAACTTATAACGTATTATCGACTCTGTGAGATTTGAAGATCCTTATTACTTTCTGAATATTTGTTTCTCTATAACTTTTTCCTTTTTTTTTTGGTCTCATTGTGCTCCATTTCTTGATTTTTCGCTCATTTTCTTATCTCCAAAATTCTCTCAATTCTCTCTCTCTCTTTTTTTTTTCTTTCTATTCATTTTTTAAACTCTTAATTTTTTTGTGCTCTCGAAAATGTGTCAATTCTCTTCTTGTTTCATCGTAAAAAAATATTTACTCTATGATGACTTAAGCTTTCTATTTATAGGTATTTTTTAAAATTCTACATCCTATTATTTATTTATTGTATATTTATTTTAATAAAGACTCTAACTTACTATGACCACTTATTTTTTGATAATTAATAATCAATTTTTTTTCATTCACTCTCTTAAAAATCTACAAACTATTTTGATTATTTCTAAATCAGATTTTAAATTTTAAAAATTGAAGATTTGAATTTGAATTTGAATTTGAATTTATTATTTTTATCTATTTTCTTAACTTCTTATAAAATTAAATCATTATATTTAATTTTTAATTTTATTTTTAAAAAGAATAAGATAAAATTAAGTATTTATAAATACTTTCATATTGTCTATCAACATAGTCTTAGCATCGACGTATAGATTTAAACAACATTTTAATTAAACGATGTTTAATTATTAATTTAAATAAAAAAACTGTATGTTTGAGTTTAAACAGCACAATTTCAGAAATTGTTCATTTAGCGTTTGGTAAACATAGCTGTTTTATCCTTAAAATGTATTTTGAAAGTTCAATAAAGTATATATTTATAAAATAGTTTTATTATACTCATCATTTTAAGAAAACGACTTTCAGAGCTGGAAAGGAGTAAAAGGACATAGCCACGCCTAATAATATTAAGTTTTAAAGATTTCAAATGAGAAAAACAACTACGTACGAATTCTCATACATAGTTATTTCATGGATTCTAATTTCTCGATTCGGTATTTTTGAGTTATAGAATTTCAAGAAGCTAAATATCATTTAAAATTTACCAGCGTCCACCAGAGTTAGAAACTTGTATTCCAAAATACTCATCAACACCCATTTGTTGGGCCAAAATTTCAAAGATAAAGGAGAATCAAGGGTTGGGTTGGGTGACAAATGAGGCTGAATAGGGTAGCTCATGGTAATCAAGTGATGTTCAAAGGGTTGTATTTTTGTTGGAAATATTCTAATACTCAAATTAATACAAATTTAATCAAAATAAGAATATAAGGTTTGAGCTAAAGCATTCCTTTTATATATATATATATACACACACACACACAAAAACACAATCCTTTGAATATCACTTAATTACCATGTGTCCTTAATACTATGACTGTTTAGTATAGTAGCGCGTCAAATACGTGTACAATAAATATGTATGATACATGTAATAAAATTGATAATGTACTAAAATGTTAAAATTGTCAAATAATAGAAAAATGCTTGTGTAACTATGGGTGTTTAGGGTTGTGCCTTAATCTTAGGTAAGCCTAGACTGTATTTTTTTTAAGATAGACAAATGACTTGTGACTCATATAGGGTTTTATGATCGTAGTTAGTATTAATCAAATATGAATAAAAACAATTAACTTATGACATAAAAATAGACAAATGCCCTGTGACTAAAAAATATTAAATGAAAATAAAATTAACCAAATATAAATTCAAATTAATAAGACATAAACAAGAACGATAATAAGTTTACTCATGTTTTCGAGGACAATTTCTCTCACAAAATTTGTATTTTTTTTCTTTATATTATATGTATTATTGCTTTACAAATTTATAAATACAGGTGTTGCTCCAAAACTTTAAAAATTCTAAGTTTATTACTGGTTAAGAAGTCTCACAATATCACAATTTTAATATTTGTATCCATTATATATATATATTCATACATTATCTACATTTAAATAGACTTAGAATATGATTTACTATTATGCATTTGTTTGGAAAATAAATAAAATATGAACATTATATAACACTAATATTAATGGTAAAAAAATAGTAACTTAGATAAATAAAACATTTTAAAAGAATTTCACGTTTTAGATATAAAATATGATAAATACAGGATACAGATATGGAACTTTTTTTATAAGGGAAAAAATTGAAAAATACTAAAATATGATATTTTGGATAAAATTACGAAAAATATAAAAATTGAGCTGAAAAACTGTCATAAGTGATTTTTGGTCTTTTAAATTTTTTATTATTTTTTAAAAAATTTCATTAGAAATTTTTTTAGTTTTTATATATTTTTTGAAAAATTATTATTGACAATGTTTGATGTATTATAATTTTTTATATTTAATCTCTAAATTTCTATACCTACACTAAAAATTATTATCAGATTTTTGAATCCCATATTTTTATATATTATAAAAAAAATTGATACTTTAATATATATTATTTTTAAATATCATATTTAAATAAAAAAAGCCATATGGACTCAGTTTAGTAATATTCTATCTATATATGCAAAAACTTACAAGTAATTTTTCATACCCAGACTCAGACTTATTTAACAAGTAAATTTCTTATTTATTATAAATAATTTTTTTGATGATTCATTAAGTTTGAATCTAATTACAAAAGCGAACCATATAGTTATAATAATAAAAGAGTCGTTCCCATTTTTCCTTTGATGAGTTGGAATATTACAAAATATAAAAACTAAACATGCAGCAAAATGAGCTATTCAACAAACGATAATTATTTTAATTTTTTCATTTTACTGACTTTTATATATAAAAAAATAACAAGAGGGAATAGTGTTATATGAGACACAAAAGAAAGAAAAAAGCAATGAAAACTTTTAAAATTAGAAACATTCGACAATGTAATCTCTTCACTAATTTGGAACTTTATTCTGTATTAAAGTATGGAAAGCAAGGATCACCGGTGAGTGTCCACCATAAAAGAAACCGTCGCGGTACAAGGTTGGTGGACCCCATTATTCTTCTTTGTCTTAATTTAAAAATATTCTCGTACTTTCAAATATAAAAATACATATTTTAAAAAATAAAAATAATTTATGCTGCTTCATCATATTTAAATATTTAAAACTAAATTCATAATATTAATTTTAGCTAATTTTAAATTAAATGGACACTTATTGAATAGAGAAATTGAACCAACGTTCATATTAGAAACAGTGCTGTTGTTGCTGTAGTAGTTGTTAGCTCTTGCTTTTGGAAAGAGAGTCAGAACAAAGCAGGACAGAGGGTGTGACTTTGGACCATTGCATTGCAATCATCTCTTCTTTTTCACTCTCACCACTTCATTTCAAGTTTATTTGCCTCTGACCGCTAAAGGGTATGTTTCTTCTCTCACAATTACCCTCATTCTTGTCAAAGTTTATGCCTTTGTCTTTCCCTGTTGCTTCAGTTTTCAATTTTGAGCTTAGTAGCGTTGTTTTGAGGCTTCTTCTCTGTCTGCCATCCTCAGAAGGCATTGGAAAAGGTGCTGAGTTGAAAAAAGATTCTTTGGAAGAAATGGGTTGTGCGAATTTGGAGTTGCATTTGCAAATTTCCATCGTGTCAGTGTTGATTTTTACTGGAACATTCTGTGTTGGTGACACTGACCCTCTTGATGGTACAGTTCAGGGTTCTCATTCTCCAGTTTTACTTCTAATTTTATGATGCTCTGGTTAATGTGTTATGTAAAAGCTTTCTGTTAATGTGTTTATGGTTCACACTTCACAGTTGCAGCAATCAATAGTTTGTATGTGGCTCTCGGCTCACCATCTCTTCAGGGGTGGAAATCAACAGGTGGTGATCCATGTTTGGAAGAGTGGCAAGGTGTGAGTTGTGTCTTCTCCAACATAACTGCATTGTATGCCCCTTTCACTCTCTTAAACTATTGTTATTGTTTAATCATGTCTTGTGTTGTTGATTTGTTGTTTTCCATTTTCTTAAAAAAGTGTGATGTTTGTTTGGTTTTTCTTAGGTTATTTAATTGATGAAGCTGAATGTGATTTTCTAAAATTTATATTTCGCTTGGCAGACGACTCGGAGGCATGAATTTAAGTGGAGAGCTGGGAAGTAATTTGGATTTCCCATCCATCATAGAATTGTAAGTGTTGTTTTTTCAAGATAAAGGGTAAATGTCATTAGCATGTCTTTCTTAACCTGAATTCAATATTATCTTTTGGAATATTTCTTTTGTAAATTAGATTGAATTAGTATATAATATTACATTTTTTTTTTCCTATTTGTCCAAATTCATCGGTGAATAGAGGAGTCAAATTTGTTTTGCTTATTAGGGGATATTATGGCCAAGTTTGGATAAGTTTATGGAGAAGTTCTTATAAGAGAAGAAATTAATATGAAAATGAAAAAAAAACTTCTCGAATAAGTTAAGAGCAATTTATACTCCTCAAGTTTTACAGAAGTTAAATGAAAGAACTTCTAAAAACTAGAGAAATATAGGTATTTTTAAGTTTTGGAAGGAACTTTATTTATTTTACTACTTAATTTTTTACTCCTATAAGTACTTATTGAAAAATTTATCCAAATTGAGCCTATAGCTCTTGACCAATAGAAGAAATAATATGCTTAGTTGTTATGGTTCCATTATTGTGTTATTATTTGCATGAAGCCTCATGGAGCTTTGTATTCTCCAATTGGGCAGGGATCTTAGCGACAACCACATTGGAGGGACCATTCCATCCACTTTGTCTCCTACCTTGAGGAACTTGTATGTTTTCTTGATCATCACTGATTTCATGTTTTGTTTAAATGTATTGACTAAATCATTTGTCCTATCCATAAATAGAAGCATCCTTATGAAAGTTTATGTTCTCTATTTACAAATGTAGGTCACTTTCAGCTAATCAGTTAACTGGAAGCATTCCAGATGCCTTGTCCTCATTAACTCAATTGTCAGACTTGTGAGTTTATAACATTTCCTCTTCTCAATACGAAGTTGTTACATTTTTCATAATCTGTTTCTTCATTTTGAAAGCGAATTTGTTGCCACCCTTAGGTCATTACAAAATAACCTTCTGAATGGACAAATCCCAAATGCGTTTCTACAGCTCACTGGTTTGATGAATATGTAAGAAAATTTTGTTAAATCACATTTATATCTAAGTGTCTTTATTTCATCCAATAAGACACAAATTCTGCACTTTGCTGTAGGGATTTGTCTGGCAACAACTTAAGTAGTCAACTTCCTCCCTCAATGGGGAACTTGTCATCCCTTACCACATTGTGAGTAAAACTTATAGTAACTAAGAGATTATATTTGCTTACTTGTTCAATTAATGCATGTTTTTATTTATTTTGCAGACACTTGCAAAACAATCACCTTGCTGGGACTCTTTTTGTCTTGGAGGACCTCCCTCTTCAGGATCTGTATATTTCTCTAAAACTATACACTCTTTACAAATGTAGAAATGAGTCAATGAACTATTGTCTCTACCTTGCAACAATTTAGGCATAGGAAATTTAGAGTTTGTTTTTAAGTTAAACTGTGAATTTATAATAATGTAGGAATATAGAGAACAACATATTCTCTGGGCCAATTCCTCCGAAGTTGTTGAGTATCCCTAATTTCAGGTAAGTTTTTAACTTTCTTGTTCTGTTCTAACGTAGTTTTTCTTTCTCTCTCTGGCTTAGTAAAAACTTTGCTCATTTCGAGGAGAAGTTACACTAAAAGTTTTTCTATTGTAGTTTACAAGAATTAGCAATAAAATACAGTGTAATGTATTACGATTATCCTTTTCCAGATTATCTTAGCATTTTTTTTTTTTGCTTTTTTTTTTTTTTTGGCATATAGCTTTCAGGTAAAATAAATTCATTCATAGCATCATTACCAGATCTCTCATGCAAGTTAGTTACAGTAGCATTTATTTTGCAGAAAAGATGGGAATCCATTCAATACTACTATTATTCCATCACCTCCAGCTGCTTCCCCTGCACCTGCTGCTATGGCTCCTTCTCCAGAAGAATCACCAGCAAAAGTGGCAAACAGTCCTTCTGCTACCATGAAAGCACCAATGTCTGCAATTTCTCGGAGGCCTTTCAAAGTTAAGAGAATAGTTTGGATTGGTGGTGCAGGATTTTTAATATTTATTGCATTAGTAGTTAGTCTTCTAATGTTGTGGTTCTATAAGATCCGGCCAGAGAACAAAAAGTATAAGAAACGTAACATGGGTGTGTACACAAGATCTTCACATAAACATACATTTAGTGACTCTCCTTTTGAAGCAACTAACGACGAAGAGAAAGGTAAATATGATCCATTATAGATATAGCCCTTATTGCTTTATAATGTAACTTTTTAAATATTTGCAATTTGAAATGACAAATCTGAGTAACCATCATTTGTATATGGAGTACCTAATACAAGAACGAATTTGATTCCAAAGTTGCCGGATGAACAAGAAATACATGTAAAATGAGTATCTGAAATTTCATAATGCAATAATGTTTGTGAATTAAACAATGCAGGATGGAGTTCCAAACTTCCACCCTTGCAGCCAGCACCACCACATCAGCTCCCAATCATTCCTGGAGAGAAGTTCATTCATCCAACTTTATCTACCAAAGTAACTGATAGACAATTTATAACAAGTTCTATCAAAATTTATACTATTGCATCACTTCAGCAGTACACAAATAGTTTTTCTCGTGAAAATTATATTGGGGAAGGGACACTCGGCCCTGTTTACACGGCTGAGCTCCCTGATGGAAAGGTATCATTCTTCTAGTCTATTTGTTTTTTTGGTTTTCTTAATATTTATTTCAGCTTAGTATGCAATGTTCATTACTTCGAAATTAGGTTCGGGCCACTCTAACTAGGCATTTCTTATTAGTATGATTAATGCTTTCAGTAATATGAATGATTGTGCTCTTACGTTTTTGCTGTTGGGAATTGGTGGGATATAAAAGGAGATTGTCTATGTTTTTCCAATTTCTGCACAAGTTTTTCTTTTATTGCTTGATTGACCTGATTGGTTACTACATTATTTTTCTAGTGTCACTTATTTAACTGGTGCTTCTAATTCTTATATCTTTCAAATACTTCTGTAGCTACTGGTAGTTAGGAAACTTAATGCGACTGCTTCCATGGGGCACAATCATGAACAGTTTCTCCAATTAGTGTCCAGTATCTCCAAAATTCAACATGCTAATATTGTGAAGCTTATGGGCTATTGTGCTGAGTATAGCCAGCGGCTACTTGTATACGAGTATTGCAGTAATGGGTCCCTACATGATGCATTGCATGCAGATGCTAAACTTCCAATTAAACTTTCATGGAATGATCGCATTCGAGTGTCACTTGATGCTGCAAGATCCTTAGAGTAAGTTTAGCAATTCCTCTCAAATCAATCACTCATTTGAATAGCTAGATAAACATAATATTGGTTAGTCACCAATGCTTGCCTTGTTCTGGATTATGGAGGTTGAATATAGCTTTTGTATGTTTTAAGTATTAATAATTATATCCTAGGTCTTGCAATTTGTACAATTCTGCAAGGAAGTTCTTAAGCATTTGATATGAAATTGAATCTCCCTCTTCATAAAGAGTTTATGTTTCATGCTGGGGGCACTAGATTAAGGCGTTGGTAATTTCTTGCATTTCTTGACAACCTTAAGTTTGGTGAACTTTGTTTTTCTCTCTTGTATTAGGTATCTGCATGAGCAGTGTCAGCCACCTATTGTGCACCAAAATTTTAGGTCTGCTAATGTTCTCCTAAATGACAAGTTGGAAGTGTGTGTCTCAGATTGTGGATTAAGTTCTTTATTGTCTTCAGGCTCTGCTGGTCAGGTAACTGTTTAGCTTTAATATCTTCACTCATTTTCAATTGATATCTAGTTTGAGGGTTTCATGGTTCTTTTGTGTTTCTTAAATATGTTCTGAACATTCTTGGAGTTCTACGAGCATGATGGAATGGAAGGCCTAAAATACAAGATTTACATATTTAAATACAGAAAAATGTGGTCATATATTTTATTTTCCAAAAATTAGGCTGTGAAAGGAACCTAGTTTTAAGAAGCAACAAGATGCACTTATGGCCCAATGAGGGTTGGCTCACCTGATGGGATCAAGTTGCATCGCCTAATCATTCAGGTTTGCCGGATATGTGATGTGACTCATTTGGTATTCATTGATGTCAGATCATACACGTTTTAAGTCATCACAAATGATACGAAGTGAATTGTATTACAACCTTTTCATAAATTACCAATTTCAATTTATCAATCCTGTATAAAGTTATTTACTTTATTTTTAAATTCTTAACAAAATAATTCGGGTTTTAATAAATAATATCTTGACAGTATAATACGTCCTATGAGTATAGGTTTGATATATGATTTAGATATGATAAGTAATAATTCTTAATCAGAAAACAAATAATTGGATAGTTTACAAGCTTTTGCTGTATTGGTTGGTCATCTACAGGTACCACAGTAAGTCCTTGTTGAGGCTTGCAGCATGCTCAAACCTTGGAATGGGTGAACCTCCCATTCCCCTTAGACTTTCATGTACCCAAGAACAAGGATGCAGTTATGGAATTTCCTTAGGAATAAAAGGATTCAATACATTGTTCATCCCTAACCTACTTTGCAGCTACATCATGGTGGCTGCAAGTAAATTTGATTATAAAATATTTTTACGGCAGCTATACCAAATGGATGATTGGCCTTTTTCTGTAAGATTTTTAAAGGATTCATAACTGAGTGACTTAGATTCCAATTCTCCCAGTACTCAAAATTCTATAAATTTAATTCTACAAACTAGGGTGTTTTGTGCTAGTAAGATGCCAGCAACTAGCAAGTACTCAGTTACAGACCTAAGATATGAGGTTGAATTTTCTGCTATCTTTTTAATCTTTGTTGCATTTGTGGCTAACATTGGTGGATTTGGTGCTTCTATTCTCAGTTGTCAGGAGGCCTTCCCACAGCAAATGGTTACAGTGCTCCAGAATTTGAGCACGGAAGTTACACACAGCAAAGTGATGTCTTTAGTTTTGGAGTTGTGATGCTAGAACTCCTCAGTGGTCGAAAACCGTATGACAGGTTAGCAATCCCATTAGTGAATTAGATACTTGAGTTCAATAAAGTAGTCTTCAAAGCATTGGATTTGACTGAGGCATCACTAATTACGTGTTTTTAGCTCTCGGCCTCATGGAGAGCAATTTTTGGTGAGATGGGCAGTCCCTCAACTCCATGACATAGATGCTTTGTCAAAAATGGTTGACCCCTCCTTAAATGGAGCATATCCTAAGAAATCCTTGTCTCGTTTTGCTGACATTATTTCTTCATGTATACAGGTAATTTCTGATTACTTTTCACGCCAAACACAAAAGGAAGAAAGTGATGTTAGGATCCTATGTTGTTTCGGGGTTCAATGCACCGATGCAATCTTTAATGATAAAAAATTGAAGCGTGGTTTGCATATTTACCTGGCCTTTCGTAGTTGAAATTGACATTCTTGTTTGTCTCGTTAAGTTGGACATGTGCAACCATGACACGAAGTATCCCTGTGTGCCAAGTATATGCTTGGTTCAACTTATTTTAGAAAAATAATTGTTTATTTTTGTTAGTTTTCTGAGAACTTTTTAAAAATAGGCAATTATTTCTCTGGAAATAATCGTTTCCAAACATGCACCAAGACTAAGACCTTTCAAGGAATATATGGTCTAGAATTAGAACTGTACCCCGAATCCTTGATATTGTCATCATTTCATGTGTTCTATTATACTGGTTGATGTAATTTTGTACTCTATGGCAAATATAATCAGTATCATTTTGGGGGTTGAATTTACATGTCCTAGTTGAACCTATCATTTATTTATCCTTTTTATCTGTTTTTCTTCCAGCATGAACCTGAATTTCGACCAGCAATGTCAGAAATTGTTCAGGATCTCTTGCGAATGATGTAGAGGATCATGCAGCCAGCTATTAATGAGATTATTAACTGCTAGCAAATAGTCAAAGAGAAGACAGGTTATGAGTACCAGATTTTCAGGACATATCCTTTCTTTTCCTATTTTTTTATAGTGAGATCAATTATTACGCTTCCTGACGTGATTTTATTGACTTAGGATTGTGTTATGTACACACACAAACGCAACACGCAGATTATTCACAGGAACATGCGTTTGTCATGAAAAGCAAAACTTAAATAATATATTTTTTGTATATATAGTGTGAGGAATATGTGTATTTTTCATTTTTGTATGATATTTTAGCAGGAATGTTTATATTTGTTAATAAACGTTTTGGGCACATCACATTTTTCCCTCGTATCTCAATCATATTCATAAGTAGCCAGAATGATGGTTAAAATTTTTAATATACAAAATGATGGTGAAAAGGGTGAAAGAAGAAAATTGTTCAAGATTTATAATGTGGGTCCATATATAAACTAGCAAAAGATGAACACAATAAAGCCCAACATATATAAAGCCACATAACGAAACTAGCCCAATCAAAATAATCTCAAGCAATAATCTGAAATCAAATCCTAATTACCAAATCAAAAATTTTAAAAAGTAACAATTGGAAGCAAATCAATTTACACCAAAACTTTTAATGAAGAAAATTCAACAGGAAAACTGACTAAACCCTAAAAATCAACTGAAATTGGAACGTCAGTCCAAAGCTAGAGTGGTTAATCTTAAATATATTTTGAATTAAACAAAAGCTTAGAGCTAAGCTGCAAAACTTTACATTTGTAGCCCACATATAAGGCATTGGATGACTTGCTATGCTCTTAATTTTTATTTATGTTGTAAGTTTGAATGTTCTTTACATTATTTTATGCAGGACTTGTGAGTATATACGTTGAATGTTTTGGGTGTTACATTTAATATGGGCCTTGAAACTACCATGTAACAAAATCATTTATTTGCTTTACTTCATTTGGGATTTGCGAGGTTATCATTAGTTAACCTCTTATTATTAAGTTTTTATCTTATAAAATATATTACTGTTCCATATATAATACTAAAAATCGAAATATTTTATTATCATTAATTAATTAGACCATGGTTCAATTACAATAAAGATTTTGTTAGTCTCGATCAAATATATATAAATAGAAAATTTTTATAAAAAAAATATATTTATTATATTAAAGTTATAAAAGTATAATTAAGATTTTTTTAATAAAATTTTACTAGTTATTTATCTTCTGATATTAGTTTATTACAATAAAGGGAACAAAGTTATTATGTCTTTATTAATTTAATAACCAAATTAAATTTAAAAATGTTATGAATGTAATATTTTTTTTTACAATTTTTTTAAAATCATTTACAGATAACTTACATTTTAAAAACGTCATAAATATATATTTTTTTCAACAAATGTTAGTGTGTTTTGTGCTCAACTTCTCGTTTTATGAACATACGGAGCAAATTTTTAATGCTCCTATTTCATGTAATTGTTTTTCTTTATTTATCAGTTTTAGTTTAATTATTTAAGAATAAAATTCCAAATTAAAAAAATAACCATACATACTAGATATCTTACTTTAAAGAGGAGGGAGTAAATGCTTCATGGGGTACTAAAAAAAATTATGTTACATAATACCTGATATTTGTAATAATAAAAATAAAATACTGCATTATAACTTTATTAATACATAACATTAATATGTTATTAATACATTGCATTATTTTTAATATAAGTATTCAGAATTTATGATAATATTTTATTTTTTATTAGACAAAAATCATACTAAAAGTTTATCTTAATACTTAACAATTTTTAATGATCGATAAATGATAATTTTTTTGTTTTGTAGTGAGTGCTCTTAATTAAAAGCTATTTATCAGAGTGGGAAGTGCTTGTTAGAATATGTTTCCAAGTTAAGCCCACAACACAACTACTATATATGGTCCTTATTAGCTGCTAAATATTGGTTTTGATTACTTGCTTCCATCTGCATTAATCATCTGCACAAGCTATGCTTTAAGTAATAATCAGTGTTGTCAACTTCCAATTACCAATGCTTTATTACCTTTTTAAAGGGTTAAATAAACTTAATTATGAAGATTGAAAAAGACAATGAAAACGACAACAAAAATATTACCAAAATACAAACCATGTTCTACCGCCACGTGCTTTATTCACTTTCAAATAGGAGAAAGATATAAGCCATTCTATATCACTTTGGTTGTTGCTTGGGTTCCCAAGTACTTACGTTTTCCTAATTCGGTGTGGGTCATTTTTATTTTTTTTTATGGATTTACATATAAATATATGTGAATTTATTAAGCAAAACTATTATTTAGTACGAACAATTTCATATGATTTATGCACAAAATAAAATGCATGGAAACGATTGATCAAATGTTAAATTTAAAGTTAAAATCAAATTCTCAACTTTTATGGAATTAGGATTTGACATGAATTCTACCCCAAACCCTAAATTCTTCTAATACAGTTTTCAAGCATTTTATGATAATTTTTTTACCAACATGCAATTTTTAAACACAAATTACTGTAAAACAATGTAAAAAAAATATAAATACTTACTTTAGTCTGAATATTATTATAAGCATCAATTATTTTAATTTTATAAAAAATTTACTCTGATTTTTTTATTTTTGAGGAGTTATTAATTTTATTCTATTTTTAATGTCATCTTATATTTTAAAAATTAAAATAAATACCGTTTTATAAAATTAATGATTCAAGTATTTTTTATAATGTTAAATACTATTAAAAAAGTTAATATTTATAATATGAGAGATTAAAATAAATATTTACTGTAAAATTCTTAGAGCCCTGTAGATTGCCTAGATGGGTAAATGGGGTGATTACAAACTATTAGCAGCGTGGACAATGAAACTGTGATGCTATAATTCTGAGGGTATTACCAAACATTCTCTTTGCACTTTAAAAAAATATCATAAGGTGAACCCCACCATCACATGAGTAATAATAAGCCATTGAAAATTGACAACCTGTATTTTTGTTACTTTCCTTCAAAAAATAAATGCCACTTTGTTTTGATTTTCCCCTACTTTATAATACTTTTAGAAAATAATTTTTTTTTCTTGTTTTCAATTAGGTTTTTTGGCTTTATAAACTTTAAAGTTCAAACAATACTTAGTTAACTAAGATGAGGGCAAATGTGAAATATCAAATATAAAAAAATGTATAAATTAAAAGTTGATATGCATCATAAATACTATTAAGATATGGTTTCATTTGTAATTGCAATATAGCTGAGCTATAATTGGACAAAAATGAAATTTAGGCTCTACATTTATTCGTTGTAAAATGTTGTTAAACCTAATAACGAATTCAACTTCGTTTTCGAAATTACTATTCCTATCTTCATAATAAATGTTTTGCATTCACAATTACATAAAATGAAAATAAAAAATAAAAAATTAGTACTTAATGTCTTAGTTAGATGCTGTAATTCTAGATTGGCGATATACACAATAAAATATAACACGTGAGAGTGAAATAAGTAAATTTTAATTATAAATGATGTTAAAATATTTAGTGATGCAATGATTTAAAATAGTTATACAATTATTAAATATTTTTTAATCTTAATCGTGTATATATATATATATGTATTATATAATTAATATATTTTTTATTTTTGTATATTCTATCATAAATAGTAAATATTAATAAAATAAGTCATATGTTTTTAAAAAGTTTCACAACTTTTAAAATTAATTGTGTAACTTTAGTAACTCATATATAATTATGTAGAATTCATTAGATATATATAGGAATTATACAATAAGAATTTTGAGTATAAAAGTGAAATAAATAAATATTAATTATTAAAACTAATCATAAATAATTAAAATTAAAATATCAAGTCATTCTAATTTGTAAAAATTTTCATATAACTATTATATAACTTCCAATTGTAATTTTTATGTACACTTATACAATTAATACTTTTTTATTTTTATTTTTATCATTGTATGTATAATTTGAGTGAGAGGAAAGGAAAGCAGCTATATTTTGACGTTTAGTAGGTTCGTTTTTTTGAATCTTACTATATATATATATACTTGATGGATTGGTAATAGAATTAATTAATTAATTATTCTGTAGTTTTATTTTGTTTTATAATTTACAATGACAAAAATAATGTGCTGAAGTCATGCTTTTGATTGTGATGTTTTATTTATGTTGTTTGATTGGGATGTTTGGATTAAATTTTTAAAAGATAGCTATTTATTAAAATCTAATTTTGAGTATTTGAGTTTTCTTCAACCTTTCTCTCAATCTCTCTCATTTTTTCTTTTGTCCCACCACTACGAGTAAGAGTCACTAATTAATTAAATGATTTGTTTTTCTAACATTTATTTAGGTACATATAATTAAAATTAATAAATAAATTTGATTAAAAATTATAATATTTAATATTATTATTATTATATTAAATTCTATAATATCTTATAATTTTTAATATATTTTTTATAAATTTGATGTCCTTAACATATATTAAAAAAGATCAATAAACAATTACTATTAAGAGCCACCTTAGAAAAAACATGCAGCCATGTGAAGATTTGGGTGCATGGCATTTATGGGCAATAGAAGTACTTAATATGTCACGTTAAGTTTCGCTCAAATAATGTCTCACGAAGAGCGATAAAAAATAATATGGTCATACATTTAATATTGACAACCTAAATGATAACATAAATCTTAAAAAACAACATGATGGCAAAATTTTTTTGGAAATAAAAATAAAAATAAAAAATAGCTATAAACTTTGTTATATTTATTTTATAAAAATGTGTATATTTTTCACTGTTTTCATTTTGTCCAACTCACATCTATAAGAACTCTACATACTTCATTGTCAAATTGTTATCTTGTATACTGTGATTATTATTATTATTATAAACTTACTTTTTTTTTTTTATATTACAAGTATTTCTTTTTTTTTTTTCATTTTATTACCGTTGATATATGCCCATCAATTAATTCAATGATAATAGTGTGGATACTGTCCAAATAACGAAAAATTAAAGCTGAAGAAAAAGGTTTAAGTTATAAGAAATCTCCAATTCCGTTGTCTGTTAAGTCATTTTCATGCCTTATATTTCCATCAATGCTCCCTTGGCAACTCTTTTAATTAGGTAGGTATACTCTTGATCAGGATAATGTAAATTGTGACATAAGAAAACTTCATATATAATATTAAAGTGAAAAATTCTTATTGTTGTTTCTAGAAAAGGTTTATTTTATCACTATTTTCGATCAAAAAATTTAACATGTTTAAAAAATATATAAGTAGGCATAGAGAATGGGAATTATTTGTCTTTCACATGTATTAGTTAATTTAATTAACATTATTTTTATAATATAAAATTCAAAAATTAACTTTACTTCCACCAAAGAAAGACGAATTACAGCCCCCATTGACACATAAAATATCAATAAGATAAAAGTAATTTAATTTAAACTTTTAGTAATATATTTTTTTATCTTATTTGACTCGTTGCATTTAACACTCTATAAAGAATTATATATATTTTATCTAATAATAAAACATGTATTAAAAAATATTTATAATGTTGTTAAAACAAATGCTTCAACGTACTTTTGACACAATTTTGTCAACATATTTTTTATTATTGAATAAGTTTTATAGAAGTAACAATTAAGAATGATTGTGAATATGTGATTTTACTTCATTTTAGTTTAGCTTGAAAGTATTTCCTTAACACTATACATTGCAACTTTTGCACCTTGAATATGTATTTATAGTATATTCATCACGTATTCAAACATATATTTAATTCATTTTGTGTACCTAACTAATTAGCTCAATCTAAACTATAAAAGAATACGAGTAATTTAAGTATTTAGTTAGTTCGAACCATAAAGAGTACTATCCAATTCAACACCTTAATTTTTTTCTTCATTTTTTATAAATATTATTAAAAAAATTATATATATATATATCGATAATTCGATCCTATTTAAAATGAATTTAATCAAGCTGGCTTAGGTCAATTTATTATTATTTTTATATAAACTCAACTCAATCGAATATCATTGGTTTTCAAGACCAATTATCCCTAATCACCCTAAATAACAAGAAGATTATCATCGTAATGTTTGAAAATAAAAATAAAATAAAGTAAAGTAAAAAAAATTACAAGGTCAAATTAGTAATTTCATATTAAAAAAAATCATGCTAGTGCACAAATTGAGCAATGCAACATCAGAAGGAGATGCAAAAGAGGGTTGTTACGTAATTGGCAATGCCAAACAGCTAATTGAAGGACATTTTAGTCTGAACCAAAAACACTGATCTGAACTGAACGCTGTAAGTGAAGTTCTTGGCAACAAGTAGCAGCTGCTGCTTTTTTTTTAATACAAAAAATAGTTTAAATATGTTTTTGTATTCATATTTTCCTGAATTTTTTATTTTAGTTCTTTTAAACAATATTTTTATTTTAGTTCTTATTTTTTTTAAAATAGCTTTTAGCTGTAATCAAAACAAAATTGACAGATCGAATTATCTTAATAGATGAAATTAGTATTAAAAACAATTTTTTTAAAAAATATAACTAAAATAAAAAAATTTAATAAAATGTGATAAAAAACGTATTTAGAAAAAATAAAATAAAATTGGACTTCATACCCACATAAAAATAAGAAAGTTGACAACGATAAATAAACATTAAACAATAATTGTAATAAAAGTTTCTTTCTGACTGTTGAATCTGAATTCTACTTCTGCTACTCTGTTTCTTCATTCTTATGTTGAGAGCATTTCCCATCTAAAACTGAAACATTAAATTATAGTTTGCATTTCCATATTCGACCCACTGCACATTTTCCCTTCTCCTATTCTATGTTTCTGTAGAATTAGACCCAATTCCTCAGTTCCCTTCATTTGTGGGGAAAGGAACTTCATTTCTGCATCAGAAGCTGATTTTGAACTTGCCCAACTACATTAATAATGGCAAACCCAGTTTACAAACTACGTATCCTTTTGTTGTTTTCCTTTTTCTTGGAATAACTTTTCTGTCTCAGAAAATGCATTCTGGTTCCACCCATTAAGTTATTGTTACCAGTGACTGAGTTTCTGCTGAAACTTTCAAATTGTTTTTTTTAAAATTCATTGTTGGAGGGGGCAACGTGGGGTGTAGGATTTGCACTTTGTTTGCTTTCTGGGAAAAAATGATGCAAATGTTGGAAACTCATCAGCAAATTGGAAGTTATGGAGTGAAGTTTAGATTTTTTTAAGCCGTTTTTTACCGTTTAGTGGTTGAGGATTTGCTAGAGAAGTTAATGAAACTTACAAGTTGCAGTTTTTCATATTTGTGTTGGTTATTTTTATTTATTTATTTATTTATTAATCGGGGTCTTTGACTCTGTGTGTTATATTTTAAAGTATGAGTTTGTTATTGACTGTGGAGTGTAGATGTTTGGGTATTTTGATAATGTGGTTTCCTAAGCCAATCAACTGTAGAGGAATTTGTGGCCCATTCAGGGAATGTAAACTGTTTGAAAATTGGAAGGAAGGCATGCCGCGTTTTCGTTACAGGAGGGGATGATCACAATGTTAATCTGTGGATGATTGGGAAACCAACTTCTTTAAGGGTCAGTTGATTTGTCTTTGTTATTTTAGCATTTTGGTTTCAATATGTTATTCACTGAAGGATTTATGTTATTGCATGTACCCAAACAATGCAAGTGAAAAAATTATTTACCAAAATTAGGATCTTCTAAAGCTACTTAGTGTTATTTTCCCATATGCATCACTTTTTGCCACAACATCTGCTGCACATTCTGTGGGATTCAAGGATTGTGTTGCCTGGTGGGTTTGTACTAAGTACGTTGGCACCATCCAGTGATATTGTGTCAGCAAGGTTGGCGCAACCAACACACGTAGATGCCAAAATTGTCTAATCACCAAAATAAGTTTTCTTAAAAGCCAATTCAATGATCATTAACCTAGCAAGCTCTGATGCCAACATTGTTTTTTGGCTGCATTTTAGCTGTGTAAAATAAGAATCAAACCAAGATGAATGAGCAGTGAAATGTGTATGACCTCGTATGTGCAAGCAGTGATAAGTGAAAAAAAACTTTCTCGAGAATAAACTGAACTTGAAGCCTGAAAGTTTAAGAACCTTGAAATCTGGGTATGGAATGCTGGGATTGATTTCTACAAGTTTTGGACCATCCTCACTTATTTCAATATAGTTATCTAGCCTTGATCTGTTACTACCTGATAATTCCAATGCCATTTTCTTCTTTCTTTTGCTGTCCCAGAATAATATGGAGCTTGGAAGTCATTCAAATCTGAAAATTTTCTGCTATACATAGATCATAATAATTTATTATCATCTGTACTTTTTACTCACATTGGATTCCCAATATGATGTGGGCTGGACTTTCTTATGGTAGCAGCAGAGCCATGTAGAACTTTGAACCTAACAATGCTATCTTACTATAAATATATGCAGAGTTTGAGTGGTCACACTAGTTCAGTAGAATCTGTGGCTTTTGACTCAGCAGAAGTATTGGTTCTTGCTGGAGCATCGTCAGGGGTTATAAAGCTTTGGGATTTGGAAGAAGCAAAGAGTACGTTACTTAGTGTATTCTGCAGTCATGTGTAATATATAATGTTGTTATTTATAGAGCATCGGAATTGTTTAGCTAGAAAAGTGAAAACCCTCTGATCATAAACATGGACCGCTATTTGATTTAAGAATTGAGTTATACTATCTACTTGCACGCATGAAATTATAAAGGCATCTAGGAGTACCATTATAAGTCCAAGTAAAGATTTTTAAATTGTTAGGTGCAATATAAGGTTTGTGTATTTTACAATTTTATCAGTAAACCCCTAATATATTTGCTATTATTCTTGAAGTATAGTGGTTCGCACTCTTACCGGACACAGATCTAATTGTACTGCTGTTGAGTTTCATCCGTTTGGTGAGTTTTTTGCATCTGGCTCCTCGGACAGTAATCTTAAGATTTGGGATATTCGGAAAAAAGGATGCATTCATACATACAAGGGTCATAGCCAGGGCATCAGTACAGTTAAATTCACTCCAGATGGCCGTTGGGTTGTTTCCGGTGGATTTGATAATATTGTGAAGGTAACAGCATGGAGTTTGTTGTGGTATAGCTTTTCCAATTATTTATAACTTTTAGCTGTTCTATAAATACACAGTGAATCTAACTTACCAATATACAGGTCTGGGATCTAACAGGTGGAAAGCTCTTGCATGACTTCAAGTTCCATGAAGGACCTGTTAGGTCCCTAGATTTCCATCCTCTTGAGTTTCTTCTTGCTACAAGTGAGTTAGTGTGCTTTAGATGTGAAGATCTTTCTTTCATAATTAGTGTGCACCGAATGAAAGTATGCTTAATAGTTGGTCAAACTTAATGGAAATATATGCAATGATTCTCTGTCAGGGACCATGGAAACATTCAAGCATCTTCGAAAACTCAATTAGGGATTATCTAGAATGCATTATGGTCTGGCCCCAATAAACGTTTTATGGGTGCCTGGCTGGTACCAGATCATGTTTTGCTAACAAGCCAAAATGTAGGCATGGGTCGAGAGGGCATTTTGGAAAAAGAAAGTTAAAAGAATTATTTTTGCCTAGGATGCAGTCTAAGAAAAATTTGTTTTCAGTGTAATTAACTAATATGTTTCTATGAAATTTATATATTTACACAAGCCTAAATCCATCTTTCTATTTTAGTAATTTTACATCCAAAGGTAATTATACTATTCAAACAAGACTCATTCTAACAAAATTACTTTATGTTAAACATTCCCAAACATAGAAATCATCCTTCAAAATGCAATTCTTTCTGATATAATTCTTCCACGCTACATTCTACCGAAAAAAAATATTACACCACTTATTCGAACATGCACATAGCCATCATATCCAATCACTATTGACAAGATGTCTTTGCGGCCACCACAATTACTATGATTCCATCTTCACCATGGTACTGAATTATCATTAATATTACTGCTCCTGAACTTTTCCAAGGTTTTGTAAGCATAATCCATTGTACAGAATGTTCTTGAATTTGATATGTAAATATAATTTTTGTCTTTGTTCATTGAATCACAATGTAACCTTGAAGGATGTAAACTGTTATTTTGACCAAAGCATTATGCTCAAATAATTTATTTAAGTTCAAAAAGAAAAAAATTCAGCAAAAGAGTAAGTGTTTACAAATTCATTTGCAGGTTCAGCTGACAAAACAGTGAAATTTTGGGATTTAGAAACCTTTGAACTGATTGGATCTACCAGACATGAGGTATATAAATTTGCTGAAGCTTTCTTCTTCTGTTTGAAAGGACTCAATTATATCCATTAATACTCATCAAGGTTAATATTTTTTTGTAACTTGATAGTGTTGCTGTATCTTGCTTTGTTAATCTACAGGTGCATAGTGTGTTAATATGTTTCACTTTTTATCTGTGATGTAGCTTTGTTGCCATTGTAGCATGGCCTTCTAATGTAAACCTGTACATTTATTTTCCCAGATACATGTGCATTTACATGGACATAGAATTTTATATAAAATAGTTAATTCTAATAAGTATACTTCAATTTTTATTAGGTTGCAGGGGTACGCTCAATAGCCTTTCATCCTGATGGACGGACCCTATTTGCTGGACTTGAGGATGGTTTGAAGGTACAGATTGTTTGTTTCAAACATTAGATTATAATAATAAAAACTCAAACATGATAAAGATATATAATGCTCATTTATTGTAGGTGTATTCATGGGAACCTGTTATATGTCATGATGCTGTTGACATGCTATGGACAACACTTGGTGACCTATGCATTCATGATGGGAAGCTTTTGGGTTGCTCGTGGTACAGTAATTCTGTTGGAGTATGGGTGTCAGATATTTCGGTAGGCTCACCATCACCTAGATTAATTATTATATTTATTTCACAATTTAGAATGAGTTGTGTTAATTACATTATACTTAGCTCAAAAAGACAAAGTATAATTAAAGAATTCCTACTTATGTGGCTGCTATTATTAGCTGTATGATGTTATTACTAGTTTTAAATGCAAGTTACCATTCTGCAGTGTTCATGCCTGTAATGAAAGTCGTGAGTACATGGTATCCATATTAGTCTGTGAACATTGTTAAACTAATTTTGTGATGCGTTTCCAATAACTTGTTCTCTGTTAGCTATCTTTCTGACTGTCATTCTTAATGCATCAGCTTATCAAGCCATATAGTGGTGGTGTAGAAACCAAGGAAAAAGAAAGCATGGAGCAGCAACTTAATCTGCAGGGAAGACAAAAGGAGAAAGCAGAGGTTGGTGTGGGACCAACTTCAGGGTTGTGCTGTATGTCTTCTGAAAATGAGTTAAAAGAGATAAAGAATATATATATTGACTGTAAGCCACAGACCTTTTTGTCTTCCCTTGATATTAGACATGGCTTTGTTAATTTTCTGAAAGAATTCAGTTTTCAAAAAAGTTTGTGCCATATAGCACATCTCACACTGAGCTCATTAATAGGTAAGATGCAACAATTGCACCAATGGATTGTTTTGGTGAAGAATCTATTGACAATTTAATTAAGGACAAAACTTAGGGTACAATTCCTTATGTGTTGTTGATGTTGTTTAGTAATCAAAATCAGAGTTTGACCTTAACAATCTGTGATAATAACATTAAATACAGATTTTTTATTGAAGAAATAAAGCTACAAGTTTAATTTGTAAACAACACTAACAGAACATAAAGAATAACACACAAGTTGTGTCCTTTAATTTATCTGGCTGAAGTTGAAAATTTAATTTTACAAGCAAATATGTGGTGAAGGTTTTGACTCGTGAATGCAGATTAAGATAAGGGCCCTTTTAAGTGAGCTTCTAAGGCAATAATGCTATATCCACCGTTGAATTTATTTAATAGGTATTTTAATCTTTACTCATGAAAGTCTAAAGGTGGGTGTGCCCTTACTCACCTTATTAGAGACCAACCCACTTTAGAGAAGTTTTTTTGGTAGGATTATGTACATTTTTCCATGCCAGTTTATTTGTAATTCTGATTACTGTCCCAAATGATGTATTCAAGAACATTTTTCTTTTTCTGCATATAAAGCTTCTGGAGGGAATCCTGTTATGTTACATAAATCCAGGTCATTGAATTCTCCAAAAATAGATCTCCCTGAGGAATCCAAAGAAATGCTAAACTGGAGTCCTGCAACAGGAGTTCATGCAAAACCAAATGAACAAGCATCTACAAAGTCTTACTTTGTGTCCAACATTATACCTCGGGACATTCCTGATGGTAAGGACTCAGTGACCTTTTCGAAGAGAAAACCTGGAATGTTGCTTAAGCCAGCTCATGTTCAGGGAGCATCAACCGGCATATTTGATGTTAATGGGTTTTCATCAGATTTGGATTCTGAAATATTTTGTGATACTGTAAGTAAATCTGATAGTGCAAAAGATCCTAACTTCCAAATGAAGCTTGGATCCCTGAATGAAGTCAGAGAATCTTGTGAAGATAAACATCCTATCAAGAGTGTTACAGAGATGTTTGGAAGGACTTTAACACTAGACAGACTTTCTGACCAAGAGAAATGTAAGTTTCTCTTTCTGTTAAACCACTGTGGGTCAAATGCAAGTCATTGGTGATTATATTTCTGAATCTAGAATGAGTAGTTCACTATAGAGAGAAACGTATGACATCTCAACTATCGATAAGAAAATAAAATAAAGGGGAAGAATTGACAAATCCATCATTTGTTATGCATGTGCAAGTACCATTTACATTTGTTATTCATGTGCAAGTACCATTTAATTTTTCATCGATGGTTGAGATTTCTCACTTTAGAGAAGCCAAAACTTTGATTTCTTTAATCTTATTTTGTTAGTTTGTGTCCACTTCAACCAAAAACGGTTTAATTGCCCATCATTCTCTTCTCTCTTCTTAGTTATAGCATGGACTTCCCCCCCTATATATACTTGAATAACAGTTTCTTGTTAAATCTGTGAAGATTTCAATGAAGGTCCATGTAAGTTTCTTTTTATATTAGAAAAAATTATGCTTGTTTTTTCTGACTTCGTTTTCCTTTTCAAAATAACAAAAAACTGTTGGCCAACATTCTCTGGACAGATAAAACTCTTCTACATGTTGCCAATTGATATTTTAGTTTCTACTCTTTTACAGAAGTTGGCATGGCATGTGTATTTGGTCTTTTGTATAGAAAAGTAATGTATGGACACTTATGATTAATATTTTATCTTTCAGGTGATCAATCCTCTCCTTACAGCAAAGGGATTAGTCCAGTTAAATATGTCAATGGAGGTTTGCGATAACTTCTCAAAGTTATTTTTTATACACTAAGGATTCCACTGGAAACTGAACATATTTAAATTCTGCTTTTGGCAGTTGCTGTTGTACAAGGAAGGACCCGTTCTCTGGTCGAGAGGTTTGAAAGAAGGGAAACAACACCCACCAATGAGGATCAAACTAATGTATCGCTCACCACAACAAATGACAATAGGGAAAAAATTCTCCAAGAAGATCAAACTATTATGTCCCCCATCCCCACCACAACATCTGAGAAGCGGGAAAAAATTCCTTTCAATGAAGATCAAAACAATATGCCTTCCATTTGCGACATAACATGTGAAGTAGACAAGTCTACTAACTTCTTGGTAAAACTCTTGCTTGAAAAAAGACAAACTTTATGGAATTATATACACTGTCATAATATCTTCACCGTAGCTTCATGTTTTAGTCAAAACATTATTTGTAGATACCTTATGAAGAAACTGAAAAGGCTCTGAAAGTGTACATGGCATCACAATTTTAGAAATTAGCTTGCACATGTTTTCTCTTGAACCTCTCCCTGTCCACCTCCTTGCCCTTGGCTATTTGGACCATTGATTAATTGCTATCACTATTCTTTTGGTATTGGTTTGCTCTAGAGTTATGGTGTCTTAACTATTAAAACCTATATATTGAAAGAATGTGGTTGTTCAAATTCAATCACACACTTCACCCTTTTTGGGGGCTGGGGGGCTTCGTCACGCACTCGTGTTTTTACAAATTGTTGCATTGGGTTCGTTGAACTACTCAAATATATCATGTTTTATGACATTGTCAGAAAGTTGAGCCTCAAGTTTCTGGAAGGGATTCAAACTCTGCAAATGAAGGGGAAATAATTGAAGGTCTGATGCAAACTCATGATGTAACATTAAGTAATCTTCGTTCACGTTTGACAAAATTACAGGTAGGTTTAGCTATTAGTTGATATTAAATTATTTTCTTTCAGACTAAACCTGTGTATAGTGTAGTAATTCTAGTATGTATTAATTTTAGCCATGAAACTTATAAGTGTTTGGCTATAGCCTATTTGCTGATGTGTAAATGTTCGTCTTTGTTTTTGCTATTTCTTAACTGGAATATAGGAATAAAATGATAAAAACTGGAATCATTCCTCTCACTGACTGGTTCTAACGTGCATTTGCAGGTAGTGCGGCATTTTTGGGAGCGGAATGATAGTAAAGGTGCCATCAGTGCTTTGAGGAAGCTGCCTGATCAATCTGTATGTTTTTTTAATTAAATGTCAACCTGTCACTCATTGGTTCTTTGCTTGTTCTGTATTTAATGTTTTGACAATTAATTTATGGTTTTGTTATTGAATATGAATCCTAAAAAAAAAATCATCTGTATGTAGGTTCAAGCTGATGTTATCGGTGTCCTTGTTGAGAAGATGGAGATTCTCACCTTAGATTTATTTTCTTATTTAATTCCTGTGCTCACAGGCTTGCTGGATAGCAAGATAGAAAGGTAGTTTTTTGTTAATGTGGTGTTAGGAAAATTCATGCTGAAAGTTGAAGTATCTAGGGCTTCATATTTGACCTCATCTAATGTTTCTTCTAATTTATAGGCCATGACCTCACAACTACTGTTTGAATTAGCATGTATTTTTCTTGTGATGGTGGCCTTCACAAAAAAAAAATGACAAACCGTATACATTTAACCTGTTCTTACTGTGCAGACATGTGAAGGTATCATTGGATATGCTACTAAAACTTGTAGCAGTTTTTGGTCCAACAATACGTTCAACCGTTTCGGCACCTCCTTCTGTTGGGATTGATCTACATGCAGAGCAAAGGTCCCCTCCATCGTCACCTAATGTTGCTTTCACTGTCTCTTGAAGTTTATATGTGAATGAACCTAATTTATGTAAAATCTTGAAAACAGGCGGGAATGCTCCAATCAATGCTTTATGCAACTGCAGAAGATTCAAATGATTCTTCCTATATTAATACGGTAACCATGTAGTCTTTGGTGTTGCCAACATATATGCACATTGAAATCAATGTTGCAGACTAATGGTTTTAAAATAGAAATCCAAAAAAGCTATTTCTGTGTCTTGAGCATGTCCTTTTATGGTAAGATTTGAATACCTTTGGAAAATAAGCGAAGTAGCGTATGAAAAAAAAAGAAAGCATGCTAAACAATGTGCATGCCCTTTGCGAAGATTATTCGTGTTTCTGTTTAATTGGTTCTGATTTTATTAAGCATTAATTCTTCTCAGCTTTATTATACAACTTGGTGTTATGATTCTTAGCCTATTTCTTTACATATCACTGTAACATTTCTTTTACAGAAACAGCAATCAAGAATCATGGTTTCTCACTCCCCCCCCCCCCGGTTTCTTTTTGTTGCAGGAGGGGTGGCTTATTGGCCAAGGCTGCCCAAGAGCTAAATTTGGTTCTTCAACAATCCTAGCTAAAGTTGCTCTTTTAAGAACTTCAGCCAACTTATGAATGAGTGATTTGGCTCAACATGGTATGGCAGGATCATGTACAAAACATGAAGAAAGCCTTCTTCATGTGGTGTTTTTCATCTGCAGCCACCTTCTTTTTATGATTTGCCCTAGTAGCGGTCGTCATCAGCTTCGTTAATGGCAGAGAATCATAACAAACATGTGGGTTAGCTGAATGATTTATTTGACCTTATGTTTAGATGCTTGAAGGTGGAAGCAGCCATCTAAGTTGTATCTTGGTCTTAAAGGCTTGTGTTCCTGACATATAACCTGTGCTGGTCTTCAACTTTTGTTTTTCTTCAATATGTTTCTTCTGCTTATTAGTGATATATCCTGCACGTTAAAACATGCAATGAAATGTATCAGTCCACTGTATTTAGTACCAGTGTAAAATCCTTGTATATGCAATATCCAATTAAATGGATCCTTTTTTCTATTTTTCTGGGTCCTAAGTGCTCAAGCTTCTTTTTAAATGGAGTGACCAGAACTTGCCATTATGATGATGATCACCGTACATTTAGGTCTTAAATGCTCAATTTATTTGAATCTCAGGCATGATGATCCTTGTGTAACTTACATCTTTACAAACATAATATATTTAATTTACTAATGCAGTTTGAATGGGTGGAAACTAGAAAGAGTTGACTGGGGAAAAATGAGACAATTTTATTCTTTTTCTTTGATTGTTGACAAAAAAATACGAAAATATTTGATGGAACAGGCATAAAAGAAATTTCTCCCTTCAAGTGGAGAGAAAATGATAGATGGAGAGAAAAGCTGATTTGTCTATTTATTGACTAGTACATAGTAATAAACGTTTTAAAAATGTATTAATTACACTAATTATTACAATAAAACAATATTATTGACTAAAATAATTTTATTTAAAAAGTACCGCATAGTTATGAGATAATCAATATTTAGATAAGGTATCAATTAACAGCAAATTAGGATATTGTTAAAGATAATTAATACGCTTTCAATATTTTAAAAAAATAAAATCAATCAAAAGTCTCATAACAGATACTATATGAGACGGCAAAATGATGAGATAACAAATAATAAAAATTAAACAAATTGAAAAAATATATAATCTTAAATAAAAAGGGAAAGGAAAATCTAAAAAAATTTGGAATACATAAATAGAAAAGGCAGGAAAAAAGAAAGACTCAAATACAAAACAAAAAGTATAAATCTGAACCAAAAAAATCTAATAAAGCTGAAAACGGTTGTTTAAAAAGTAAAAAAAATCAAATAATAATAATAATAATAATAATTAATATATATATATACTTGACTGTGCAGTTACAAAAACATCGAAAAAATAGGAAATAAAAGATTTAATGGACGGACGAAGTAGTTAAGTTGAATCGACGATGATCAAGTTTTTTCCATCACCCCCTCACACAAAAGCACATTAATGCACTCATCACTTCACATATTTTACCATTGCACTCTCCCACTTTTCATTCAGGGATTCACACACAATCACAAGTTCTCAAAACCAAAAACGTAGTTATGATCTCAAGCCAAAAAAACTCAATTTTCGGAAATAAAAAAAAATAAAAATCAAAGACGTTCATTCTTTGTTTTTGAAAGCTGAGCAAAAGAGTACTCAAGAGAGGAGCATTGCACAAAGTACTGGTATTCAAAATATTCTTTGCTCTTTAGACTTTGATTGATTCATTAGTCATTTGGTTTTAATATGATGAGTGCTTTTATACTGTTTTGAATTCGTATATTTTCAATCAGCAAGTGTGATGAATGCATCGAGGTCTTGAATAACTTGTGCAGAAAAATAAGATAATCTCTAAGTCCTCCATAGTATTGTAGTTGCTTGAATTAATCAATGGAATAAAAAAAATAATGGCGTGTTGGCTTTAGCTTTTGGAGAACAAAGTGAATCATGTCTAATATTAGACAACAAAAGAGGCTTGTAATTGTTGTGATTGTTATTATTATTATTATTGCTATTATTGTGTGAATTTTTTTTTTCTTGTTATCTTATTTAGACTATTTTTATGCTCAAAACTAAATTTTTTGTTGTTGTTTTAATAGTTACAATTTGTGTCATGTACATATCAATAAATAATAAAAAAAAATATCTTCCTAAAAATATTAACATATATTTAAAATTTTAAAAAAAATTGTTTCGAATCTATGCAATAGCTAATTGTTGAGTAAAATATTCACCGGATCATAATATCCGCCTAGAATATCTACTTTTAATATTATTTTGATCAGAATTTTTTCAATTAATTTTCTCAAAATAAACATATTTTCTCTCCAAATTAAAAAAAAAAGCCTTCTGTAAAAAATTCAAATTCAAGTAATGTCTCCTCTCCCAAAATAAAACCAATATATTTCACAAATAAAATGCAATAAAAATACAGCTTTTTAACTTTAAAAATTATTCTTGTTTTAAAATCTGAAAATATTCCATCTTAAAAAATCAAATATTATTTACCCAAAACAATAATTTTAAAATCTCAACTCAAATTTTTTATTTTCAAATAAAAAATCATCCTTCTCAATTTAAAAACATTTTTTTCTCAATTCAAAAATTCCTAATTGTGTATCTCCCGATATTAGTGATGTTAAAGGAGTTGTAGCAACTTAATTTCGTTTTTTGGACTTAGCCCCTTCTTTTATATATAAAAAAAAATCACTCTTTTAAATTTTTTTTTTGTTCAATTAGAATTATTCCAAAAATTGAAAAATATATTCTCTCTTCCAAATCTTAAGCACTCTTTTTAACAATAAGACAATCAAAATATTTTATTTTCTAAAAAATATTTGAATTTAAATTTTTTAAAATAATAAATTTATTTTAATTCTATGTAATAATTAATTAGTGTTGTTGAATAATTGATCTACCTTGAACAATTTTTGAATCATCCAAATTTTTTAAATAGTCATATACTAACTTGAACTTTGTTCAAAGGAGATGTAATTCTCTTTCTAATAAGCAATTTTTTTTTCAAAAAATTAGAAATAAAATTTTTCAAAAAATAAATAACAAAAAATATTTCCCCTTACAACTTTCTAAATAAATTTTTTTCAAAACATGTTTTTTCTAAGAATTAATCTTTCGTAAAATCAATTGAAGATATTCACTTTTAAAAAATTAAAAAGAACCTTAAAAAAAAATATATATATATATATATATATTAAAAAAATTCAATATTTATAATTTTTAATAAATTTGAGGTAATAACTAAAAATATTTGAAAAAAATTCCTATCCATTTTGTAGTTGTTTTAGGCTGGCTTTTGGGCCTAGTGCCTTCATTGTTGTTTTGCTGCCATTGTTCTTTGACCCAAAAACAAAGCTTCCATTGCCCTAACAAAAAAAGAAGAAAACAATAACAAAGAATTCTGCCGCATAACACCATACACAACTATTGCTCCCTCCCTCTCTCCTTCTGATAACCATTGTTCAGTTTTGAATGTTTTTGTGGCATTCATGCGATCGTGTTCCCTTCATCTTCGGTAACCACTTACCAACACAACACTTTCAACTTTTCAGTTTTCATCCAAACCAAACACAGTCTCTTTCATCTCTCAACAATGAGCATTCTGCAAGGGAAACGCAAGCGCCAAGACCTGGCATCAGCAGTGTCAGCATCACTGAGCAACGAGGATCGTGTGATCTACAACATCATTCGCGCCAAGAAAGAGTTAGGAATACACCACACTGACATCAAGCGAGAAACCAACATCCCCGAAACCATGCTGAAGAGAACCATCAAGTCCCTTCTTTCCAAGTCACTCATCAAAGAAGTTGTTAGCATCCAAAACAGGCAAAAGAAGTTGTTAATGGCGGTGGAGTTCCAACCCTCCAAGGAAATCACTGGTGGCGATTGGTACACCGAAGGAAAACTCGATACCCAGTTGATCGAAGCACTTTCTGATGTTTGCTTCAAGATCATTCTCCGTCAAAAAGTTGCCACGTGTGATGGAATCGTTGATTGGATCAGAACGGTGGCGAGTGGGGTGTTTCCTAACGGAGTTTCCGTGGAGCAAGTGGAACAGATTTTGAAGGTTTTGATTATGGAGAATAAGGTGCAAGAGGTGACCAGTACTGGCGTTGGCGATTTTGCTTCCGTTCCTGCTGGTCAAGTTTGTTATAGATTGATTAACAGAGCCAGTACCGGCAACGGTAACGTTAAGGTTGGTATTATGGTTTCTATTCCCTGTGGGGTTTGTCCAAATATAAAATTGTGTTCACCTGATGGTGTTATCAACCCAAAAACTTGTGATTATTATCAGAAATGGTTGGACTTCTAATTCATGTGTTCCACTTGTTTAGTTTTTATTCTTTTAAGGCCTTTCTTTTTTAATTTTATTGTCTTATCTAGGTAACCATTGTCCTTGTTGATTTCATTGTTGAATATATACTTCAAAGGTTTTTTTTTTTTTTTCAAATTTAACTTCTGGATTAAATTGAAAAGCTTTTTGGTGTGCCCATGTGCTTTTCCTCTGTTTCGTTACGTAGATTGATATCAAAGATGTATGATTAAATTGTCTTGGAACATATATTTTTTGGTATTGTTGGATTCCACTGTTTATGGGATAGGCTCCATTGGTTAATTTGCTCTGTTTAGTATTGATATGTACTAAAGTCTGTAAAAAGCTGTCCAAGCTAAGCGGAAGGGAAGAACGAAATGAATATTCTATCCTCAGCCTGTTATAAGTTGATTAGCAATAGAAAATTTTTTGATCTTTTCAAATTTTTATTCACTCAATTACGATAGTGTGTATTATTTTAAAAAAAAAATAGATTGAATAACTTAAAACTATGAGTATGAAATATTTATAGAGCTCTGCCCATCATAATGTTTAATTTAAAAATTAATAGAAACAATCTCTACATAAAATAAAAATTAAATTTTGTTAATGAAGATATAGATCATGTTCTTATTTTTATGTTCTTTAAAGATAAGAATTAAAATTAAATGAAATGCTAACAAAGTTTGTAAATTTTTAACTCAAAATACTTGTAAAAGGATATTGTGTGATTGTAAATTTTGGTCAATTTTTACCTCTCAATCATTTTTTCTCCGCTGTAGATAATAGAAATGATTTTTAAAAAATAAATAAATTAACATGACAATGGTTTTCTTTCTTTTTTTAAAAAACTAACATGTCATATTTCTCTCTTCTTTTTTTCGTTTGTTTCTTTATTTCATTGTAGAATTGGAAATTCAAACCTGAATACCATTTTGATGGGGTGATGATGATACAATTGTTAACTTTGTTATCTGATTATCCGTATTGAATGCATATTTTATACATGAGAAGAGTGTCACTATGTTGAAAAGAAATAGTGGCATGTAAGCAAAAAGAAAAAGAAAAAGAAATAGTGGCAATTTTGACGTATTATATATTTTATATCTAGTAATAAAATAATTGTTGACTGGTCGTAGAAAAAATTATAAAAATATAAGCTATAACTTTTTATGCTATATATATATATATATAATATTTTATTATTTTACTTTTAATATTATGATTATACTATAATATTTGGTATAGCTTTTTTAGGTGAAATAATCTTAATTTAAAAATTTTCTGTTCAATAAGTTTAAAAAGTAATTGCGTTTTTACAATAAAATGAACAAAAATATTTATTCTCTTTACTCTAATCATACTTTTTTTCTCTCACTTAATTTGATTATATAATCTCTAAAATATATAACAATTGCTTGTATCGAGCTGCGCGAGCGGGGACGAGGGATATTCTCCGCTCCCCGTCCATGCATTTTATGTTCTTCACTGTCCTCGGCCTTGGTCTCCGCCATAGAGAGAGACATTCATGCACCCTATGTTCTTTTCCGTCCTCGACCCTTGATCTCTGCCATTGGAAGATCTTTCTCCCCATCCCTACTTCCTCTCAAATTTTTGTAAATTTCTCTAAAAATACATAAAAAAATATTAAAAACTATAATTTCATACTATTATCATTTTTTAAAAAAGTTACTTTTTATAATTTTTTTTACTTAAATATTAGGTTACACAATATATAAAAATTAAATATTACACAATTTTTTTTAAACAAGCAACGTAACTACATACATAAAGATTACACTATAATAATAATAACAGATACCAAATTAGAAAATGAGTCAAGCACCAGGTTCTCTATAATAATCATGACTCGTTCCTTTAGCCAATTTAGCTCTTAATATAGGATCATTCAAGTCAGGTTTTTTGGTTATTAGGATAGGTGAATTCTTATAGATCCATCCTTCGAAAGAATCGGACATGATAATTTTTCATCATCCAGCTCGAATCAAACATTTTGAATGTATCCATAGAAAAAATGCATATGTTATCCACACATATAGAAAGATTCCATGTAAGAAAATAAACCTTATTTTCTTCTTCGAAGTTACAATTATCTTATTTGCAAAAAAATAATAATTAAGTTCTTTTATTATTAAGTAAACTTAAGTAAATGCTCAATACCCAAGTAGGCTTTCAAAGGAAGTGAAACAAACATAAAGATTACACTATAACATAATAATAATGATAACATTATAATATTTTATTAATTTAGAGCACAATAACACACTTCCTAATACATACAATTGACAAGTATATTCCCATGCTTACAATTGTCATTACTAAGCTATATATAATTTTTTTTATTTAAAAATTATTATAATTAGAAAATGTACAAAACACAGTTGAAAAGGAGAAATATAAAGGAGGGAGCAAAACAAAAAGAAGAAGAAGAAACAAACCTCAAGCAAAGAGTGGGAGGCAACGACAGCAAGAATGCGAACAGTGGCAGCGCAAATGCAAAGATCTAAGATTGAGTTTGAGAGACTGACAACAAGCTATCAGATTCAATCAGGTATGTGAGTAACTTAGAAAATGCAGAAGAAGAAGAACAACAACAATAAAAATAAGAAGAAATAAACCTGAAGCCACGAAATGAGAAGAGAGTGAAAGGAGCAAATAACAAACATAAAGGAAGACAGTGAGAATGAGAATAACGACGGCTTGAATGAATGCAAAGATCTGAACTTAACTTTCAGAGACAAAGGCTATTATAGAGCAACACATTCCCTCATATATGAGTATGAGACTTAAAGTTTTTTGATATTTTTTTTATTTTAAATAAGTATGTTACTATATTATCCTATATGTAGATATTTAATAAGGTTATTTAAGTATTTTTATATATGCTCAGAGATTCAGAGAACCTGTGGAATGGGAGAACTAGTTTCGTCCTCAAATTAGTCGCAAGGACTTTTCATCCCCATTCCTGTTCCAGAAAGGAAAATTTTTTCGCATTCGAAGCCCCATTCGGAGTAGTCCTTGCAAGGATTATTGCAGCTGGAGATTAATTGTCACCCCTATTTGTATTTTGTCTTGTTTGAATTAGTAAATACTTAAAGCTTTAATGACTGGTCTCAGTAACTATTATTGGAATATTATAATTAAAAAAAGTTTACTTGTATATTATAAAATTCAATCTTAATTTTTAGAATGTCATAAATTTTGTATTTATTCTCCGTTTTATGAATTTTTAAGTCCAATCAAATAAATGTTTTGTAATCTTTAGTTAATTATCTGAATAAATAATATTTTTATTTTCTTTAATTATTTTTAAGAATACTGTAAAAAAATTCAGTAAACATTAAATGTAATGATATATTTGTTATTAGTAAATATTAAAAATCATATTCAATGGATTAAATTATTTTAATATTTTTCAAAACTAAAATTTCAAAATTTTTTATGTTTAATTAATATTTTTATTACCAATAAACATTTTATTCTTAAATATTTTTTAAATTTATATAATTTATACTTCATTTATAGTTATAAATAATCCTGTAATATAATACGTGATATATTTGCCACTTATTTAATATCTATGATAAAAAAAAGAAAGAAAGATGGAAGCATCAATGGTTCAAATGGTTGGCATACCAATATCTAAGCATATACAACTATCAGACACTTCTTGGATACTTTAAGATATTCGTAAATCATTTTTTTATATAAAATATTTTATTATATAAAGATCACTTATAAAACATTAAAGTTTTCGTCTTAATTTTGAACTTATATATTTATGTTGGTCATGTTGTATTTTATATTTTTCAAAGCTTCATATATTCATAAGTTATAATTCTTTTTTCATCTATACCTTCAATCTATTCTTGAGATTTCACCAAGTTGCCTTTTATATGTTGGGTAAGTAAATATAAGGAATTAGAGAGAAGATTTTTCATTAAACTTTATATTAAATGTGCATTTATTATCATTTCAATACATTTTTATGAAACTATTTAATTAATATTTTCAAAACATTAAATACTAAAATTCTCTATTTTATTATATATTTACTTTATTTGATATGTATCAATAATAGAATAATTCAAACTTGTCAACCAGTCAAAATGAATATCACATATTTGACTTATTTAATGTTAAAGATTTTTTTTTCCTTTTTTTAATCTAATCTATTAGAAATATTTTAAAAATTATTCAGTGCGTGTGATTAGAGAATCTAATAATAAACTAGCTAGAAGTTTTAAGTTCCTAATTTTTTTTATCCATGTTTGAATTTATATGTTCTTAATATTTGTACTTTTAGATATTTAGATTAGTTATCAATTTATTTTTTAACTTTTTAACTCTGATTAATAGAAAAAAATCTGAATTACCAGCCTTATTCCATCTTTAGTTAAAAGAAAAACTTAAAAGATATATATTACATTCTCAACCTAACACTAATTTTTTAAGTTGATTTAATCATTTATGTCATTAAATTGACTTAAATAAAAATGTTTTAACCTTTACCACATGTTTGAATTGTTTTTAGAAAAAATATTTACTCTGTTTTTAAATCTTCTTTTATAAAATTGATAGATACAAATTATTATTTTTCAAAATAAATTGAATTAACTATGTTGAAGTCCTTTTTATTTATTTATCCTAATTATAAAAAATAAATATTAATTTTTAAATACATTAACTGATAACTTTTTTTTTCATATTATTAATTATTATAAAATTTTTGTAATGAGACACTCATTCATTATTTATATAAGTGAATATATTAATTTAATATATAAATATTAATACTATGAATTTTTTAAAATATTGAATAAATTTATAACATATACTGATTTTTAATAGTTTCAATAAATTAATAAATTGTTTTTTAATAAAAGGATATAAGAGAATAATATTTAATAATTATTAATAAAACTTACAGTAAAATTTTGTTTACCGTTATCTTAGTCAAAGAATCAATATATATATATATATATATATATATATATAATACTTATTTAGTAAAAAATATGTTAAAAGTGCATTAGAAATTATGAGAGGAGTGAATTGTTATACTTAAAAAAAAAAATAATAGCAACCAAAAAACTAGTTATAATTTTTTAACCAATATGGTGTTGATTAATATTTGCCTATATAATACAATAAGAATAAGTCTATAGACTCCTAAGTCTTCTATGTTATTCTTACAAACCTTTTTAATTAAAAAATGGTAACTAAAAATCTTTAGGATACTGGTTAAATTAAAAAAAAAAATTACCAAAAAAATTGTAAAAATACACTCACACACATATTTAAATAAAAAATTATTATTTATTAGTTTTTTAACCACTATTTTTAAGGTAATTCTTAACAAGATCCACAAATCATGGAGAGATTAATAGAAAGATATAGTAAAACTCTTATACTAAATGTAGTCAAATGTTAATTACTACTCTAAAAACTTTGATTAAAAAATTTAGAATAGAAAACTTTTATAAGACATTATCGATGCTCTTTCATTATTATTTTTAATGACAAATGCTAACAAGTGCTTCAATGATATTGATTAAAGAACAACAAATAAAAAAAACTAGCATGACAAATGACAATACACCATTTTCTTCTTCTCCTTTCTATTCATTTTAAATATATTTTTTAATAATTTATTAATTCTTGTAATAAATACCCTTAGAATAATAATTAACATGACTCATTATTTTTAGTATACTTCTAACATGTTTTATTATTAATATTTATTTGTTAATTTTAAAATTAATACTATTTTTGCCTTTTTTTTACAGAGTAAAAAAAGATAACTAATGCATTAAAATTGATAAAATATAATTATGTTATGAATTTATAATATATATATATATATATGTATATAATTATAAATAATATTTTTAAATTCTTTTATATTATACTCCTACAACTTTTCCTACATGCTAAATGAAGAAAAAGTCAAATGAATTTTATGTTTTTAAGATATTGAGAATGCATTCATATTTTCATTTAATGATTTTTTAAGAAGAAAACTTATGTGCATTTATGATGCTATTTGTGTTGTTTATCAATTAAATTTATAATTTCATTTCAATAATATGAGATAATATAAAATATAAATATTTTATTAAAACAAAATTATAATTTTTACTGTTAAACAACACTTATAATACTTACTAAATAATACTTAATTTTTTTCCAAGGTGTATCTAAAGATATACAATAATACATATATATATGTATTATTTTTTTAATAAATTATTATAAATTGATTATATTAAATGTTACAATTTTTAATAAAAAGTTATTTCTTAATTTCTTATTGAATTCCTTTGCATGCTTTTGAGCACACATTAAAAGAAGCATTCATTTAATACTTACAGAATCAAGTATTGTAGGAAAAAAATACTTAAATAATAATTTACCAAAAAATAATTAAATAATAAGAGATATAACATTATTTTTTAAATATATTGATAATATTACATACTTAAATTTGTGATATATATTATATGAATAATAAATGAGTGTTTTATTGATAAAATTTTCATAATAAATAAAAGTATTATAAAAACATATATTTAAATTATGTCTTTATTTCTTATAATTATGAAATATTTTTTTATATAAAAGGTGAAGGTAGTGTTCTCAACTCAATATATTAATTAATAATACTGTAAACTGATGAACATAAAACTGTAAAAACATCATATGGCCTTGTGTTACTAGTACCACACAAAAAACCACCACATGTGATCTAACACAGAGGAAGAAAGAAAACATATGATACAAACTTGAGGGGAAATAGAAAGACCATAATAATCACAATGATATCAATGATCATAAATCTGTCATTGTTTAAACATGGAAATTCAAATTTCGGCTTCCACACTTCCTACTGCCCAAAAGCGCGCAATCTTGAAAGACAACAAAAAAAATCAATAAAGAATATGAAGAAAAAGTAGAGAAGGCAAAATAGTCATTTCATAAAATTCCCCCAAATATATATGACACATAAACCCATGGTTGAGAAATGGAAATTACAAGCTTACATGACATTCTCAATTCTCGTCCATCGTTCATATATTAATTTTTTTCTTTGCTCTTTTACTTCAAACTTCTTCCTTTCTAATTTCTATGCTTCAAAGTTCAAATCAAATCTCTCAACCCATCTTTTAACATATATTCTCTTAATTAAATTTATATTTTTTACCCAGTAAACCTAAAAAAAAAAGAACAACACACAAAACCACCCACTTTCAAAGCCACTCAACACCACCCATAAAAACTGCCATTTTTCCTGAATTGTTCGTCGGAAAACCACCTTAGTTGTCTTGTATCGCTTTTTCCCCTATTTACAAACTTGTTTTCAGACACCCACAAATCTGTTTTCTCAGACATTTTCGTTCTATTTCAGTTGTGTCTGTTATTATCCGTGGCCGTAGGGTTTGCCGGGGAAGCAGGGCAGGGTTTGCCAACGGGAGCCCAGAGCAAAGAATTACTCAAAAAAAGCCAGTGGCATTTATTTTAATTGGGAACGTACACGTGTAAAGCAATGGAAACAGAGTCGACGGTGGTGACGTGGGGCACCTGGGAGGAGCTCCTCCTTGGCGGAGCTGTTCTCAGGCATGGGACCCAAGATTGGACTGTCGTCGCTGCGGAGCTCCGAACCCGAACCGTTTCTCCATGCACTTTCACACCTGAGGTACATTAAATAATATTCATTAATTTTGTTATATTTTATTTTTTATTCTCTCTTTAAGAATAAAAATATAATTAAATTAATTAATTTTGGTTCAGTTTCTATTTTCAAAACCGTTACGGGTCATTATTATCTTATTGACTCATTGAGCTAAATTCATTGCCTGGCATGTGATTATTATATTAATTAAATAAATTAAAATAAATCTATGTTTTGCAGTCAACGTCGTGTTTAGATTAGACCCTTTATAATGGGTTGTGTCTGAAACCAACGAATATGACGCCAAGAAAAAATCTATGTTCTTGTATTGGATTTTGCTAAGAAAAGCAATGTAATGTTAATAATGTATTGAAAGAGATTTGAATTTGGAGAACTGCGTGTTTTGAGTAGAATGAGTGGCATTCACGTGCCAATTGTTTTGTTCCCCAATCCCTAATGGTGCACCACTTTATCTAATTTGTTAAGCTGCTTACATCATCATTTGCATATGGGTCATTGAGGTGGCACAAACCCTTTTGTTCAATTTGTTCGGTGATGATAACTAACATTTGATAATGGCCAAACCTCTCTTTGGTAACCAGCATTCGCACATGGTTATAGAAATCCAGAAAGCCATGCCCATGCTCTGTAAATTACTAAAATATCCTTACCGTTACAAAACTTTGGTTTACGCGCATTAATTTTGAACTCGCTTTTTGACGTTTTTTTTTTTTTTTTATAATTGTTCAATTTTTTAAAAAGTCAACAAATATTTTAAAGCGTGATTAATTTACATGACAAAATGTTTAAGACTTGACACCTCAAAAATAGTTGTAGAGGGTTGAGTAGCAAGTCTTACTTCTTTACTTAAAACTAAGATCATGCAAAGAGTGAGGGAAGGTGATTCAGCTTAAGCTTGAATGATTTGCCTAACACTCCTCTTGCTTATAATCCTTTGATTTGTTGCTAACCCACTAATGTGGGACTTTATTATCTTAACAAAACATTGAGGCTTGCAATACTTCTACTCTTCATGCTTTACTGCAAAATCTGAAGAAAGATTTAAGTGATGTTTTTTCTTCATTTTGATGGAGTTCTCTTCTTTTAGGTCTGTAAAGCCAAATATGAAGACTTACAACAGCGCTATTCTGGGTGCTCGTAAGTGGAGTTGCTTCTCTTTTTTTTTTCTATTTAAATTTTCCCAATTTGATGATATATCTATACCTACCTTTAGATTTTATTAATGAAACACCTCCCTTTCAAAGATGGCATAGCAGTTGTGTGTTATATCTCATTGTATTATGGTAACATGGCTTGCTCAGGGCTTGGTTTGAGGAGCTTAAGAAGAAAAGAGTAGCAGAGCTTAAGAGAGCTTTGGAACTATCTGAGGATTTAATTGGGTTAGTTGCTTGGTCATACTTTATCTGTAAGCTTAGATTTTGTAATACAACAGACTAAATATTCCCATTTTCCTCAAGCTTTTTGCTGAATGAAATGCCACCAAATCTCATAGTTAACTTAGTTTGCAATATTCACACATTGCATTTCTCAAGTGATATTCTAGAAATCACTTCACTGTCCTGATTGAGGGGCATTTCCTGGAATAAATGCGGTTAAATTTGCCAGCATTTTGGGTGTAGTTTACTAAGTATATTTGTTTCAGGACCCTTGAATCAAAGCTTGAATCCCTCAAGGCTGGGAAGAATGAGAAAAGAGATGGTTTTCATGTTGACACTGGCTCAGTTGAACCAGAATTACATGTTCCTTTGCTAAAATTGGACAGAATTGAATCTTCTCCTAAAGAGATGTCAAAGGATGGGCTATCTGCTGGGAGTTTCACACATGAAACTCAGGCAAACTGGTCTCATGAATGCCAGGTTCCACCAATGTCTTGTGAAGATATAGAGACCAAGCCTGAAGTTTCAGGATTCACTGAACATGAGAAAGTTTTGAATGTAGAAAAGTTGGCAAACACTGTATGTGAAGGACAGGGAGTGGGTTTGAAGAAACGGAGGGGGAAGAGAAAGAGGAAGGATTGTGGAAGACATACTAATGAAATAAGTGCAAGAGAAAGTGATTTTTCAGCCGATGTGTGCAAAGAAAGTTCTATTAGTAACTGTGCTGAGGTTGTCAAATCTTATGGTATAAATGAGGAGAATACGAACGTGAAAAAGGTTGGAATAAAATATCTGATGGAGATTTTAGATTCTGTTTTGGTAGTTAAAGGTGCTTCTGCCTTTTGTCGCAGGCTTGATAGCCAGGTATGTATACTAAGAGATCCCATTCTATTCTTCCATAGTTGGCTTCTATGTTTTCTCACCATAATGATGCCTTTCATGATAGGTCCACTAGTTCTTAGATGCACATGCTTTAAATCTAACATGCTACTTATAGACTAATGGGTTTGTGGTTGCTGTTCGTTATTCTTTAGGGTGTGCTTGTTATGGTAAGAATAGGAGTGGCAGAGAGAGAAAGGAACATAAGATAATTATATACTTAGAGAATAAAGTGGAAAGAAGGAAGATGGAGTGGTTAACAACTTAGCACTTGTATTTCACCTTTAATAAATAATTTCCTTGGTATGAGGGAATAAAAAATTGGTAAATTCAGTTCAATGGTTCAAACCAAATAATTTGATGTTTTTATTACTTATTTCTATATTCCTTGGAAAAATTTTTATTTTTATATTTGGATAAACATAACAATTAAATTATAATCAGTAATAAAAATAAATATATAATAAAAATTATGAGAATAATTCATTTCATTAAATTTGTACTATATTTTATTTTTAAAAATAGAAAATTGTTTTTAAAATGAAAATCAAAAGCTCTTATTTTTCCATTTTCATTTTCACCTCTCAAAGCAAACATTTGGTTCTTTTTATGTTATTCCTTTTGAAATTGTTTAGCAATGACAAATAGGAATTTAACTTGAGCCTTAAGGCAATAAATTCATTATGCGCCATTCTTTTATAACAGAAACGAGGAAGGTACAAGAAAATGATACGGCGGCATGTAGATTTTGACACTATAAGATCAAGCATCAGCAACCAAACAATCAAGTCAGCTATGGAACTTTTCAGAGACTTGCTGTTACTGACCAACAATGCTCTAGTATTCTACTCCAAAACCACTCGTGAATATAAAACTGCTCTACTACTTAGAGACCTTGTCACCAAAACATTGAGAGAGAAACTCAAGTGTTTTACCAGCAGGGTAACCCTTCCTTCTAGGATTTTACCTGTTGATGATCCTTCAGTGAAAGTCAGAAGTGTACGCCCTGGTAATCGTAAGATTGTTGCAAAGGTGGTTGGTGGTAGCAACTCTGCTTCTGGGGTCTCACTTGTTGCCAAGAAAACAAACAAAGTGGATTCTCCTCCTTCAGTGGAATCCTTACCCATCAAGAAAGCTTTTGGTAGACCAAAAAAGATTGAACGTGAAAGTGGAGTTCAAAGATGTGCAACTCCAAGGAAGGAAAAGAAAAGAGGAAGAGCAAAGTGATATGGTCTTAAAGGCCTCTTTGTACAAATGTTTCCCTTTTTGTTTATATTTTATTTGTTTGCATTCAGAAGGGTGAACTTTCATGCAACCAGAAGGAACTTGGACAGGGTGGAGCAGGGGAACTAGTTACTTCAAACATATGATATTATATAGTTCTAAATTACAATACACAATCTAGACAAAATTTCCTACTATAGTAGGTACTAGGTACTTCTACTTGTGTCAGGAAATCTGGTAAATTGTAAATGTGAATTTTGTCTTTACCAAAAGTGAAGTATACTACTTTAATCGAAAGGAAGTCATAAATTAGCATATTAACATATCGGGCCATTGTTTCTCCATCTTCACGATTGCTTGTTTGCGTTTGCACATCATTTTCTATGTGAATTAATTATCTTATCCTAATTTGGTATAAGGATAGGATTATTGACAATTCAGAATCTGATTATGTAATTAATCATTAAGTATGTAATAAATGATAGGTTTAATTTATAATTCAAGTTACGTGTGATTTTTGTCTCTTTAATTTTAAATATTCATATTTAGTTTTTAGTTTTTTCAATTGTTTAAATTAAGTCTCTCATTTTAAGATTTTATCCAGTAATTAACAAAAATGTGATAAATATGTAATATATATTTATGCAAATTTGTAAAGGAAAAGTATATAAAATAATTAAATTAAAAAATAATTTTATTATATTTTACAACTTTCATTTACTTTTTTTATTTAAATATTTTTATATTTTTATCAATTTATATAAATTAATAATATGTTATACTTTCATCATACTTTTATTAATTATTGAATAAAATTCTAGAGCATAAGAGTTAATTTGAACAGTTATAAAACTAAAAAATTTAATGTAAACAATTAAAATTAAAGAAACTAAAATCACACACAAGTTAAAATATAGGAAAAAAATATAATTAATCTTAAAAAAAAAGAAGAAGACAAGAAGATGTTTTGTAAGGTTAAAGTATTTCACATTCCTAAATCATTAATCTACTTGTACTTTTCAATACATATTAATGCATCTAATTTATTGTGATTTTTCTTTTGCATGTAATTTTAAAGAAAAATTTAACAGAATGCTATGATGTAATAAATTTAAAAGATTAAAAAGCCTTTACATCAAATGTTAACAAACAACCAGGATATATTCTAGAAGAGATGAAAATTGCTCACATACCATCAACATTAATCCCAAAGGAAGAGATGTGAAAGCAAGAAACACTATCAATTGGACATCCTTAACAATTACAAGGGAATGTATAATAGGACTATTTCCGCTTAAAAAAATAAATTATTAAATGTTCTTTAATTAATAATTTAAGATACTTGCTAACAAAATTCTTTAGAAAAAAAACTTAGATACAATATTATAGGTGTTTTTGGTATTATTTTTAATTAAAATTTAAGTTTTGTTTCAATAATATATAATAACATTAAATATAATTTTTTATTAAAATAAAACTCTATCTTTCAATTAATAAATAACATAAACAAGACCTAAAGAATATCGTATAAATTTTTTCCTATTCTTTATTAACGAGGTGGTACAAAATTTTATTTAATATTTCAACTAACCTAGTAACATGGAATCATGCTTTCATAAAAGAATTATAATTTTTGTGATGAAATTCTAACAAAAAAGGAAAATTCTTCCCTTTTGAAAATAACAACAAAATCAAGTATTCAAAGAATCTAAAAAAATATGTCAAAATCCACTGGCATAATATCACGATATCCCAAATCTCTTTTATATAAGGGATGAAGTTCAGTCATATATAAAAGTTTAGAATTTGAAAGCAGACAGTTGTATTTCATATATTTTCTCTCTTAACACATGACATCTGATGTATATATCATAACATTGAACACAACTTGTATATTTTACACTTGCCTCTGTTATAAGATTGCGTAATCGTTACTAACAATCCAAGCTGTGTTCATCTCCATCATAAAATGAACAATATTGTGAGAAATCATGTATTAAGAAATCAAGCAAAATATGTGTCGTTACAAACAATCTAAAGTGCATAAAGTATTCACATCACATTAACATAACTATATTATTATTTTTAATTATAACATTCTTATTACTTAAAAATATATTGGGAGTCAATAAAATTAGGATTGAGTTGCCTAAAAAACCAGTGTATAATTCCCATGCTCTACGCAAGAAGGAAAATAAAATTAACCTTCAAACAAAATCATCTACAGTTGTCAGAAATCATCACAATACCATTAAATAAAGCGCTTAGAAGAGGAAAAATTGGCACAAAAAATTATTACCATAGAATGTATTAGGAAGGCTATTATCCTCTCCCAAAAAATTGAAGCGATAATTTAGAAATTTATTAAACAATGCTTACACTTGTTAACGGTTTCATAAATATTTTTTTTAATTAAAAATACATTTAAAAATTACTTAAAAATATATTAATAATATATTTTTTTGCGTCACACCATAGTCTCTGTTCCAAGTTTCAACTTCCAATCCGAGAAGTCAACATGAGACATAGCAGCGCGGTGCGTTCAGAGCAACCGCCGCAATCCCAACCTTCACCTTCAGTTTCACTCCCTCACCGGAAGAAGAAGCGCAAGCGCAGATCCACCGCCTCTTCCACCTCCGTTTCCTCCGAAACCACCTTGGTCAATGGCCCTCAAAATCACTTCCATCTCACTTCTCACACACATTTCGCCGCTCTTGTTTGCCACCAGAAACCTAAACCGGGACAGAATACGGCGACTGTTGACGCCGACGGTTTTAGTTTTGGGGAGCTAAGGCAGAGAAGCGTGAACGGCGTTGGAAATTCGGCGGTTACGACCGTTGACAACGGTTACGGCATGGAAGTTAGTTCGGTTAGTGATGTAACGCTAGAATCGTTGAAGTTGAAGAGTGTCTTGGCAGAAGATTCGATTTGTGAGTAGAATTTAGCTACTGTTTATGCCTCTGATCTCATGTATGTAATATAGTTTTTTATTCATTTTGTAACATTTATTTTAACACTTGCATCCAAATAGCGTGATGCGAATGATTCTACTTGTACTGACAGGGAAATCCAATTTGTTTTAAGAATGATAGATTTTGAAACTCTTTAAAGTTGGTTCTTACTTAATATTTAAGTAATAATTGATGTGACTGCATGTAACGTGATGTGTGGTAGTGAAAAATAAAAAGCAGGATTTGACAAGGATTAAAGGTGTGGCATGTTTTCTTCTTGTGCTTCACCCGATCATCAATCAATCAATCTAAATTAATCAAATTTCGATCTGTAATTTGATTATTTCAAAGAGCTTGACGCCGGCGTTTTATTTTTTGTCTTATTTTATTCGGTTCTGTTAACCTCAATCTTATAGTTTGAGTTTAACTTAAATAATAAGATTTTACCTAACCCAATCATTTATCATACTTTTATGGAGTAAACTATCAACTTGGTCACTGGTGTTTCTAAAATCCATCAAAATAGTCTCTAAACTAATTAAAAAAATGTCATTTTAGTCCCTAAAATTTTATTATTTTACTAGTTGATTACTGAGGTTAACAAAACCGTACATTATTAAGGCATTTACGGTGTACAACATGTTTTCAGCTAAGAAGTCACCTGTAACGTACTTCCTGGATAAAGTGTACCATGGAAATTCTGTATGGAGCACAACAACTATTGGGAATGAAAAAGGACGAGAAAGAGTTTACGACACTATCTTCCGCTTGCCATGGAGATGTGAATTGGTATTTGTTGTACTTTCCTTTTCGTCACTCTTCTTCAAGTGATGTCATCTATGGGGTACAGTGTTTAGATTCTGTTTTTTATCTTCATAACCATTAGGTCAGAATTAGAAGTTTTGTAGAACGATATAACCTGAAACTGTTCGCCAAATGTATAATAGTTATTTTTAGTTGTGATTTTTATGAAGACGTCATACATTTGTGTCATGGTATCTCATACGTGGAATGCATTTGCAGCTTATAGATGTTGGTTTCTTTGTCTGCTTCAATTCATTTCTGTCATTATTAACCATCATGCCAACAAGGATAGCAATGACCATTTGGAGGCTTCTGAAAACAAGGTTTACAACCTTTCTTCAATTTTCTTCTCTTATAGTACTTTAATGTCAGTTGAGTTTACATGTGACTGTGAGGACTTAGATAATGGACTGATCCTGCAGTATCTATTTCGTTGGTTTAGTATTTAGTGTTGTGATTTAAGCAGTCCGCATTTAGTACAATTCTTTTAGTACTCAGTTTTAGAAATCATAATTTTTTTTTAAGGAAAGAGAACAGGGTGATTTTTTTTTGACCCCATGTTGCTGAGATTAAACAGTTGGTTTAATTCTAAATGATATAGGCCTGATTCTTTAATTTGTAACTGGATTACCCTGATTCTGTTGTGTGTTCACTGAAGAATTTGAACCAGTCAGCCACTATATGATACAATCTGCTAATTCTTGCGGTGTGATTTGTATGCTCTTCTACCAACACTTGTCTTATGTTTTAAAATTTGTGGTTGCTTTTCATGATTTTCAGTTTTACACTCTGACCTTATGATGCTCATTGCAGGAAGTTCAAGAGGCCGTCTACAGTTGAGTTGTCAGATTTTGGCTGTTTTCTTATTATGGCTTGTGGAGTCACTGTTTTGTTGCAAATAGGTATAGTGATAGTATGCTTCTATAGTTGTATCTTTCATATTTTCCTTTTTTGTTGACCAGGTTCAGTTTATTACTTTGTTATACTAAATTTGTTTTATGCCTCCTGCTTTTAATTTTTGGTTGGCTTAGATATCAGCTTAATATATCATATGATTCGTGGTCAAGCAACAATCAAATTGTATGTGATCTACAATGTGTTAGAGGTGAGCATAAAATAATCTTTGAACACAGGTTTTAATGATTAATTAGGTCACCATGCATGCCAAATTTATGGACATCTGATTGGAAATCAAGAATGGTTGTTCAAATTAGATTACTTATGTGGCATTTCTTTGCTGAACTTCCTCACCATAGATAGTGAGCAAGAAATTGTGTAACCGAGAGGATATTCCATAATATGAAAGATGGGAATTTTGCAATGTGGATCATGAAACTTCGATATCCAGAATTCCAGTGAGATAAAATGTTATTTTGTTTGGAAATTGATATTCATGTTTCGTCTCCCATTCCATTTTTTTGTTTCCATTACCTGTTCACTGTAGAAAAATATGATATTATACAAAAGGAAAAACTGAGTTACAGTGACAATTTCCCGGAACCTCAATCTGAGAGATATGGTAAAATGACGTGTAAAATGTAATAAGGAATTGAGATTTGAAAATGAAAAAGTAACAAAAGGAACAGTATGATTGGTGGTATATATTGGGTATCTATAACATGACCTTTTGGTACTTGAACGATTAATTTCCCAACTACTGAAATTGTAAGCATGGGAGTTACTGGTTTCTTCTTTGGTCTTCTGTCTTATGTTGATTTCACGTGTCATAATTATCTGGATTTCTGAACTGAAACTTATAGTGACTTGTTCTTGAACACCTTGCAGATATTTGATAAATTATGTCAAGGTTTTATTGGAGATGTACTGCAAATGTTATTGCATTCAGCAGAAGGACTTGCAAAATGTCCCCCTGAAACAGAGAGTATGAGATTCTGGACATGGAGATTTATTTCTGACCAAGTTTTAGCTGTTGTTACTTCAAATATCCTTTTTCTTTCGGATGATATTTTTCTTGACCTTAGTTTGTTTAATTATTTCATTGTATGAAGTCAGCTAAGGGATAAAACAAAAATGTTGGTTAGTTTCCTTGACTAGATATACTTGTTCATTCATTTATCTTATTAGTTCAGGCAATCACTTTATCAGCCTGTATTGTTTCTCACTACAATGCCCTGCCAGCTTTGCTAGTGTCAAATAACTTTTCTGAGATCAAAAGCTACGTGTTTAAGGGTTATAGTAAGGATAATGTTCACAGTATGGTGTACTATGGTGAGTTATCTTTCCTACAATTGTTGTTTTTATTTCTCTGATTGCTTCATTTGGGATTTCATTCTCATTGATTTCAAGCTTTGAAAAGGATCTTATTGTCATGTTGTGTAACCTAATTCTTAGAATGCTATTTTATTGAGTCCTTAGTTTAGCTACTGTCTGAATAATATCCCAAATCTCAATTACCACTCACTGAGTAGTTTTCACATAAATAAATTTTAAATATTTACCATATCATTTTTTATTTGAAGTATCAATACTTAAGTTATTTAAATATTTACCATACCTTGCTAATATTCTAATAGGTATGAGAAACAGAATGTTAAAGTATGTATTGAATTGACTTAGTTGAGCAGAAAACAACAATGGGAAGAGAGCTCTCAAGCAGCTCCGTGCCCTAAGACTGAAGTAATTATCCAAGATGCCTATTCCCATCTGTAACCCCACTATTTAAACTATTCTGTTTCCTAAAATCATGCTCTTAACTACTGAAAACAGAAAACAATAATAACAATAACAAAAGATAAATCCTAAATTGCTTATAACAGAATCTAACAGCCTATTTCCTAATTCTTCTCCTATAGTTTTGCCGCTTATAGACCTTCAGCTCTTCCGGAAACTTGTCTCTAACAATACTCCCCCTTGAACAATCACCTTTTACTCAAGGTGAAATTCGGAAAATGCGATTTGGATATCTTCTGCCACCTCCCAAGTGCTCTCATGATCCGACAAACCTTCCATTTGATCAGCACTTCTTTGCCTCTGTGGTTGGTAGTCCGCACTGCCAGGACTTCAGTGGATTGAACCATCAATTCCCAATTCTCATTCAGGCTAGTTGGTAAAGGTTGACTTTGTACGTCTGCTACCACACATTTCTTGAGCAAGTATACATGAAAAACAGGATGTATCCTTGCTTCTTCTGGTAGTTCGAGCTTATAGGCGACCTCGCTGATTTTCTCCAATACCTTGTAAGGAACATAATATCTAGGGCTTAACTTTTGATTAGTTTTTGTTGCTAAAGACTTCATCCTATAAGGTTGAATTTTCAAGTAAGTCATCTCTCCTACTACTAGTTCTAATTCCCTCCTCTTTTTGTTAGCTTGCGCCTTCATTCGGTCTTGTGCTCTGTTCAGCTGTCCCTTTAATTCTCTAAGTATTTGGTCTCTTTCAGCTAATGCAATGTTGACCTCCTCACTGTTGATGCACCTCCCCCCCCCCCAGATGATGGCTAGTGGGTCTCTTCCATATAATGCTTTGAAAGGAGTGGTTCTTGTCGAACTGTGGAATGTGGTGTTAAACCACAGCTCAGCCCAGCTCAACCACCTAGCCCATTGTTTAGGTTTAGTACTGAAAAAACACCAATTGGCCGTCAGTTTGGGGATGGTAGGCTGAACTGAATCTTAGTTGGGTTCCTGAGCTCATGAATACTCTATCTCTATTTAAGACAATTGAGGCTGGAAACCCATGCAACTTTACAATCTCTTTGACGAAAACTCCAGCCACATCTTTGGCGGTGTAAGGATGAGTTAGACCAATGAAATGACTATACTTGGTTAATCTATCGACCATCACTAGGATGGTATCTCAACCCTGTGATTTAGGTAGCCCTCCAATGAAATCCAAGGAAATATCATCCCAAACTTGTTGGGGAATTGGTAAAGGCTGTAATAGTCCTGCTGGGCTTAGGGTCTGGTACTTGTTCCGGTTGCAAGTATCACAAGCACATACTCACGAATAGTCTTCCGCATTCCTTCCCACCAAACTAAACTTGCAATCCTCTTGTAGGTTCTGAAAAATCCTGAGTGACCGCCTATGGTTGAATCATGAAACTCTTGGAGTACCAGAGGGATTTGGGAAGAATTCTTAGGAATAACCAGCTTACCTTTATAAAAGATTCGTCTATGTCTAAGCTCATAGTCGTTTACTGAAGTCTCCCCTATGTATAATTTTCTGTATTACCCGAGCTAGCTTCTCATCGTGTTGAACCTCCTCTTCTAGTCCTGCCCATTCCAAGAAGGTAACCGTGGAAAGGGCTGCCAACTGAAACTTGCGAGAGAGAGCATCCGCGACCCTATTTTCTTTCCCTGCCTTGTATTTGATTTCAAATTCAAAGCCCATGGGTTTAGATATCCATCCTTGCTGCCCTTCCCCCAATACTCGCTGGTCAATTAAGAACTTAAGAGATTTTTGGTCTGTATGCACCATGAATTTTCTCCCAAGTAAGTAGTGCCTCCATCTCTGAACTGCCAGGGCAATTGCCATTAATTCCCTGTTCATAAACAGATTTCATTTGGTTTCGATTTGAGAGAGTATGACTCCAAAAGGCAATAGGCCTTTCCTCTTGCATCAAAACAACTCTCAATCCAGTCCCTGAGGCATCAGTTTCCAACATAAACTCTTTGTCAAAACTACGGGTTGCTAGCACCGGCAAAGAGGTCATGGTTTTCTTCAAAATTTCAAAGGCTGTTTGGGCTTCTAAGTTCCAACAAAACCCGTCTTTCTTCAATAATTGTGTGAGAGGCCACGCTATCTTTCCATAGTCCTTCACAAATCTTCTGTAGTACCCAGTTAACCTCAGAAATCCCCTCAATCCTTTAACATCCCTTGGTGCTGGCCAGTTAGTTATCACTTCAATCTTTTTGGAGTCAGCCTCTACGTCCTCCTTAGAGATAATATGCCCAAAATATTTTAATTTGGCAACCATAAAAACAATATTTCTTTTTGTTGATGTACAACTGATTTTGCCTCAATAGCTTTAGCCATGGTAGTTAAAATCAAGATTTTATGTAGGATCGGAGAGGGGATTTAATTGTATATATATATATACATATAAAATAGTATAAATAGGAAAAAAATAAAAACATTAATTCAAACCACAATACTTTAAAAGATGAATATTAAGAACATGTCCAACATAAATTTCCAAACGAAATGCAAAATCAATATTCAAACTTTAAATATCTATTTTATCATATCTAAAATATTTTGATAATAAAAAAAAGTCGTCATCTCCTTCATCATCTTCATTTGGTCCATCATCTTCTTCCTCATTTAAATTGTCTATATTAGGAACATCACCAACACCAACATCTTGATTTGATCCTTGGTCTAAATCCAAGTCCTCATCTTTGTCAAGAGCATAAACTTGAATGTCCTCATCTTCCAAATTGTCTTCTAGGCCCAAATCTTTATGATTTCTTCTATCATTATTTTTCACTATCCACTCATTGTTAGATGGAATATCATCTACATTTATGTGAAGATCCTTCACTCTCCTAGTTGTCTTCTTCTTAGCCAATTTTGAATTTGCCATAACAAATACCACATCATTCATTGTATTTTTCTTCACACGGTTTCTTTTTTTAGTATGTACCTAAACAAATAATAATATATTAAATTATAATTTAAGATAAAAAAAAATAGTTGGCTAGCCTGGTGCATAATTTTAGAAAAAAGAATTTCTACTTACCATCTCAAAGGCACTCCAGTTACGTTCACATACAGAAGAACTACATGTCAAGCTTAGTATTCGAATAGTAAATTTTTGAAGCTCGGGATACTCATCTCCATGAGACATCCACCAATCAGTTGGCAGATGCATATGAATAGTTTTTCTAGCCAAATGACTACCAAAATTAACAGCTCGCTTTCTAAATGAATCAAGTTGGCAATCAATTTTACATTATTCATCTTGATCAAGCATCATCCTTGTCAAACAATCATATAGTCTACGCTTAACTTCAAAATCAACCTTAAATTTAGGACTATAGTGCATCCTAAGATTAAGAAAATAGCCTGTAGCATGCAAAGGCCTATGGAGCTGTTTATTCCATCTTTCAGCTATGATATTCCAAATAGGTACATAACTGATAAAGAAAAAACAACAAAGATTTAATATACAATACAACATAGATAACAAAATAGATACTATAGTTAGTTACCTTTTCTTAACACTATTGAAAGCAATTTGAATATTCTCTTTAGCTTGATCCATTGCCTCATAAATAAAGCCCATAGTTTCTTCATCTGAATCAACCATTCGAAGAACTTTGATAAGAGGAAATGCAGCCTTTAAACAAGTGATTATATCCTTTCAAAACTCTTTATCCAAAATCAATTCTTCTATAACTCTCCCATCCTTTGTCTTAGCAAACTTAGAGGACTTCCATTCATTAGATGTGAACATTCTTATCAAAGTAGCTCTATTTTTTTTAAGGCACCCTAGAATCAAATAAGATGTAGCAAAACGAGTAATTCCTGGCCTTACCAAGTCTTTGCCTTTGGTGAAATGTTGCAATAGAGAAATAAGACCCGTTCTTGAATAGATGTAGGTTGTAATTTTTCTACCTTTTGGAATTGTCTCTTCATGAATCTGTATCTTCTTCTCAAAGTCCTCCAATGTCAAATCAATACAATGTGCTGCACAAGGGGTCCAATACAAGTGTTTCCTTTTTTGCATCAACATCTCCCCTGCAACTTTATAATTTGCTGCATTATCAGTCACAATTTGGACTACATTTTTGTCACCAATTTCTTCAACAACATCATCAATCATTTTAAATGTTTTATCAGCTGTTTTTTCTATATGAGATGCATCAATAGACTTCAAAAAAATAGTTCCTTTAGGACTATTCACCAAGAAGTTCAATATTGTTTTCTTCCTCTTATCAGTTCACCCATTAGTCATTAATGTGCATCCAACAATCTCTCCTTTGTTAACTCTATTTCTTTCTTCAAATACTTTACTCTAATTTCATAATAGCTTGGTGGTTTAAATCCAGGACCATGGCTAGCAATTAAATCACACATAGCAGAAAATTCACCACTTCTTGCCACATTGAATGATATAGTATTATTATAAAAAAAACCTTCCAATAGCTTGACAAGCCTCATCTCTTCTAGTTTTGTTGAATATGTTGTTGATTGTTGCATGGGTGCTCCTTTTCCGAAAATATTTCCTCCTCCAGTCACCTCATTCTTACTTGTTTTTCTTTTACTTCTACTACTTGTATCTAAAGTCTCCTTCTCAGCAGAACAGTCAGCAAAGGAATTTGATTTTTTATTTAAATTTTCTTGTATGCTTACAAGTAAATTCCACATTTGCTTTTTGACCTCATCCAGAACAGATTTGCATGCTCCAACATCTTTGGATGTTTGAGCCAAGTGATGCTTCAATCTATAAGCACCTCCACTTACAATTTTTTGACAATATTTGCATTGAATTTTTCTTGTACCTTCAATTGCAATCCCATGTTGCCATGCTACATCACTTTGTTACACGGTGCATTCTTTGGTAATGACTTAGAGAGAGGAGCTTGATTACTAGTTGAAGCCATTTTATCTAATGGTAACAGACAACCGTAGCACAGAAAACAGAAAGTAGAGCACAAAAACAAAAGATGAAGAAAATTCCAATCACACATAATAGCCCAGAGATGATGAAGATGAAGAAAAAAACATAGCACAAAAATCAGAAAATCTCAGACCCGACTGCAGAAAAATTCGAGTCGTCAGAGCCAAATCCCAGTCACCTGAGCCAAGTCGTAGTGCCAGAAAGACGCAGAGAAGTGAATAGTAGAGTCAGAGGAAGAAGTATCGAAGAACAGAGTGAAGAAGAAAGGTATAAATCATAGCATAGAAATTTTCTGATTTTAGGGTTCCAACCACTTTAATGTAGTCGGGTTAGGTGGCGGGTCAAGGGGCCCAAAAAGTCGTCTTCTTCGCATCGTCGGGATCGTGCGTTTCAATGATTTTACGCTCCAACAAGCACAATCCCACCAATTCTACCAAATCGTGTTTCCATCTCCGATTCAATAGGGAAGCTTGCCTGGAGATCGTAGAATCCGAAACGTGATTTTGACTACCTTGGCTCCAGCACATCCCTCACTTGCCTCACATGCTCTTCCTCTGTTTGGCTGTAGATCAAAATGTCATCGAAGAAAACTAAGGTAAACCTTCTTAAAAAAGGTCGAAGCACTTAATTCATGAGTAATTGAAATGTAGAAGGGGCATTGGTTAACCCAAAAGGCATTACCAAAAATTCATAATGTCTCTTATGTGTTTGAAATGCTGTTTTTTCGATGTCACCTTCCCTCATCCTAATTTGGTGGTAACAAGATTTCAGGTCCAGCTTAGTAAATATCCGGGCTTCGCCCAATTCATCTAGCAGCTCCTCAATGACCGAAATGAGAAACTTGTCCGGTCTCGTGATAGTGTTCAGAGTACGGTAATCTACGTAAAACCTTCATCCCCCATCCTTCTTCTTTACCAGTAATACCGAGCTTGAGTAAGGGCTAATATTGGGCCTTGTGATACCAGCTTCCAGCATCTCATCCACTAACTTCTCAATCTCATTTTTCTGTGAGTGAGGATAACGGTAGGGCCGAATATTTGGTATGGAAGCTCCTTCCTTAATGATTATAGCGTGGTCGCATTCTCTCATAGGGGGAAGCCCCCTTGGCACTGTGCCTATGTCACAAAACTCCTCCAATAATTTACTCATGGCCTTTGGTATTTTCTTCGAGACCTCCTCTTTAGGTTGAGCTTCTACTGTAGTTACCAAAATGCCTTTGCCTTCCTCCTTTAGTGTCTTCAACGTTGTTTTGAATGTAGCCCCCTTTCTTCCTAAAGATGTGCTCCTTGTAGTACCCGGATTTTGGCCCCCTCGTGCCATTTAATATACAGCTGAGAAAAGTTAGCTGTGATTGTTCCCAAACCTTGCAGCCAATCCATACCCAGGACAACGTCCACACTGCCCAATTGGATAAGGTAGAATGTTTGTATAATGGTTCCCTCCTGTACCTCCAGTCGGACTCCCTCGCACACTCCTCTGCTTTGGTATTGTATACCTGTTCCCAGCTCCACGCGATATGGAGGAGTCTTAGTCACTTTCAGCTTTAGCTTTTCTACCAGCCCGGTGTGTAAGAAATTACCCTCTGCCCCACAATCCATCAAAATAGTGACATCATGGCCTTGGAGGGTCCCTTTTGCCATGAAGGACTTCTTAGTGGTGAATCTTTTCAAACTTTGTAATGAGATCTTGAGTACTCGAAGTCTGGTTTCTAGAAAAGGTTCCTCCCCTCTTGAAGCTTCACCCTGCTCTTCCTCTAATTTTTCCTCTTCGTTCTCCTCTACTAGTTTGAGTCGGTATTGTCTGTACCTGTTGATGTGCTCTTTGTTCCATGGGTCACCGCATTTGAAACATAATCCGCGGTGGCTGCATTCTTGAATTCTAGCTTGGGATAATCTAGGTCGTGTTTGTTTTAGCTGGGTGGGTCTCTCTTGGGTTGGAAGTTTTTGGTTGTTTTATGGGCCCACGTTGCTGACTGCAAGGGAGATGAATTATTGGGGTTAGTCCATGTTCCCGTTTGCAAAGAAGGGGAATTATGGGGCCTACTGTTACCAGCCCCTTTGGCCTAAGGTGTTACTTGACTATTTCTCCAGGCCCAATTTCTCTTTTCTAGAAGGATGGCCTTGTCCTTCATCGCCATTAACGACTCCAGCTCCAAGGTCCTCAATTCTGCACCAATCTCCTCCTGGAGCCCATTGAGGAAGATGCCAATCTGCACCTCCATATCAAGATGCTTAAGAGGTTGCGACAGTTTCTCGAATTCCTCTATATATTCACGCACGGGACCAACTTGTTTCAGGCTGAATAGTGCTCCAAAGGGGTCCTTGCTCACGCCTGGTTGGTAGCGGCCCAGCAGGGCGCTTTTGAATTAGAGCCACGAAGGGACCACTGTCTATTCTTCCCAAGCGTAAAACCAGTTTAGAGCTGCCCCTTCCAAGGCGAGGAGCACGACGTCAAGGCGTTCATCTCCCTGATGCGTTGGAGGGTGAAGTATCTTTCGATCTTCACCAGCCAGTTGATTGGGTCTTCGTTAGAGAAGATGGGAAGTTCTATCTTCCGATTGCGGTCTGCCACGGGAGAGTAGTTGCAGCGATGATCTCGGAATGGGGAGTGGTGGCACCGACGCTGGAAGGTGTCTCCGTAGTGGGTGCGGTCGCGAGGAGACACAGAAGATCGGCTCTCTTTGTTTTTCGGTGAAACCGATGCCTCGAACCTGGAGGTGGGTTTCCACTGTTCTGCGTCTCGGTGGTTAGGGGTCCTCGGTGGGGATCTGTCGTGGCAGCGTGCTCGGCCCCAGACTGCTATTCGTTGCATCAGTTCTTCCAGCATCTTCTCTACAAGACGCTCTGAATCCATCGCCTCAACAGGAATCCAAGCACCAGGAAAGTGCTTTGATACCAATTGATAGGTATGAGAAACAACATCTTAAAGTATGTAATGAATTGGCTCAGTTGAGCAGAAAACAACAATGGGAAGAGAGCTCTCAAGCGGCTCTGCGCCCTAAGACTGAAGTAATTATTCAAGATTCCTATTCTCATCTGTAACCCCACTATTTAAACTATTCTGTTTTCTAAAATCATGCTCCTAACTACTGAAAACAGAAAACAATAACAATAACAAAAGATAAATCCTAAACTACTGAAAACAGAAAATAATAACGAAAGATAAATCCTAAACTGCTTATAACAGAATCTAACAGCTCATTTCCTAATTCCTCTCCTATAGTTTTACCACTTATAGACCTTCAGCCCTTCCAAAAACTTGTCTCTAACATATTCTCAACTAGGTAAAATTGCCTGTGGCATAGTACAGTTGTTTCTAGAATATAGGGCATACCTTTGATAGAGTGCCTGCTGTGTTATGTTTAATATTATATATGATGTATTCCTTTTTTTTATTTGGTCTCATGTTCTTCCATTATTTTCTGTATATCCCTTTGTCTTATTGCTGACTAGCAGATTCCATAGAGAGATTCCACATCTCAGCATTTATTTTATTTGTTTTGGCACAAAATATTCTGGAGGCAGAAGGATCCTGGTTTGGAAGCTTTACCATTGTAAGATTATTTAAAACTATAGCGCTAACATATATTGCATAAGTTTATTGAGTGGAAATCAATTTCCTTGCTTGGGCAGTCTTGTTCATAACACGGTTATTCTGTGTGGTGCAGAATATCCTCTTGATTTATCTATTTGAAATGGCTATAGATGTGATCAAGCATTCATTCATTGCCAAATTTAACAACATTACGCCCATTGCATATTCTGAGTTTCTTGAAGTCCTATGTAAACAGGTATTAATGTATTATCATTTGATTTCATTTGGATATTAACAATGCTATATGTTTAGCAATTACTGCTTATAAAGACCTGGAAAAATTTTGGTATAATACTGTTTATTTTATTCTAGTCACTATTCAAAGCCTAAATTTTCTGTGGATTTATGTGAATCATAGTCGAATATACTAACAAGTGACAACTACCTTAACTCAATTGCAAATGTTTTTGAGACCGTTAGATGCAGCTTGCAGTATGTTTTGTTGGAAAGCATGGACATAACAAAAATATAATTCAGTTCCTCTAAATCATTTAAACTTCCCCCTCCCCCCGACTGATGCAAAGTGGTTTGTACATTGGATGAACAGAAGGTTAATTTTTTATTGGCTCTCATCAATCAATTTTTTTTTCTGACCCACTACATTTTCTTGTTAGTCCATTACCTATTTGCTTCTTGGATAATCCCTCTATACCTTTTTCAGTTCATTAATTATTGGTGATTGCTCATGCCTAACAATCTTAGGGAACTCGTGAAAATGAATTACTCATGATGTGTAGTGGTTTCTCATATAATGTGATGTGTATAGGCATGTATTTTTGTGTGACAAAAAGAGGACATGTTAGTGTCTCAAGGCTGAAAAGTTTGTGTTCTTCTGTCATGTTTAATTTAGTTTGAGTCAAGTCCTAGTTTTTAGGGAAGTGGATTGCAGTTATTTATGCTTAAGTTGTGGTTTTTGTCAGTTGTTGGTTTTAGGGATTAGTGGAGTCAAAACTTTTTTTTAGGCAAGTTATAGTTATGTACGTGTGTGTTTTTGTAATCTGTTAATGAAATTTCTTCCCCTTTTTCTACCTCTGTTTTTTCTACAGAGTTGATAAAACTTCTCATTTTCTACCTTTGTTTTTTCTATAGAGTTGATAAAACTTCAACGCAACATTGGTATCAAGAGCCCTCATTTTTAAGGAATTTGTAAGTGAAACTGAGAGAGATTCCTAAGTGATACATGTGAGAAATTAAGTGAAATGAAATGAACGTCAAGGAGTCTCTCTACTCTAACTCCACCTATGGTTGATGTTGAAAATTATCAGGCATGAGTAGTGAGAATGCAGGCATATATGGAAGGGTGTGAATACTGGGAAGTAGTTGAAAATGACCACCAAGTAGCTCCACTTCAAGATAATCCAAACATCAATCAAATCAAGATTCATAAGGAGAGAGTCACCAGGAAGGCAAAGGCTCGAGCTTGCCTATTTGCTGCAATTTCATCAGCTATCTTTACAATCACAACTCTTGCTTCAGCCAAGGAGATTTGGGATTATGTCAAGGCTAAGTATCAAGGAGATGAGAGGATTAAGAGCATGTAAGTGTTGAATTTTATTAGGGAGTTAGAAAGGATACAGACGAATGAGTTTGAGTCAATTAAGGAATATTCATACAAGCTGATTTAAATTGCCAACAAGGGAAGAGTTCTTGGCATTGAATTTTCTAATGGAAGGATTGTGTAGAAGATTTTTGTTTATGTGTCAGAGAAGTGTGAAGTAACTATTGGTTCACTAGAAAATAGTAAAAATCTAACACAACTCAAAGTGATTAAGCTTATTAGTGTGCTGTAGGCACATGAGTAGAGGAGGCTAATGAGGCAGGAGGAAAGCGCAAGAGGAGCTTTGAAGGCTTAAGTGCAGCATATTGAAGGAGGAAGATACAAGAAGTAAAAAGGGAAGGAGGGTGGTGATAGTAGTGGTTTAGAAGCTACTGCAAGGAATGCAAGAGGAGCAAATTCTAACAAAAAACTTCATGCAAACAATGTAGGAAGCAAAATCACCCACACTTCAAATGTTGGAGAAGGCCAAATGTGAAATGTAGGAGGTGCTATTTAATAGGACATATCAAGAGGTTCTGTAAGGAAACAAGAACACAGCAACAAGGAAAAACTCATGTTGCAGTTCAACAAGAAGATCAGTTGTTTGTGACTATTTTTTTTCTCATCAATCACTTAATGTGGCAGTTGGTTGGTTGTTAGTGAGTGCACCAATCATATGACAAGTGATGAGGAGTTGTTCAACGAACTTGACTAGTCATTCAAGTCAAGGATGAAGATAGGCAATGGAGAGCATCTAGAAGTGAAGAGTGAAGGGGAATGACACAATGTCAATAGAGAACTGTGTAGGAACTAACTTGATCTGTGAAGTGTTATATGTTCCAAAGATTGATAAGAGTTTGTTAAGTGTTAGTTAACAAGTAGAGAAGAGATTCAAAGTGTTATTTGAAGAAGAGAAGTGTCTCATTTTTTACTCCAGTGAAAATGAGCTGCTCAAAATCAAAATGTAGCACAAGGGTTTCTCATTGGATCCACTCGAGAAGAAGTAGATAGCTTTCAAGTGTCAAGTGAATGACACTGAGCTATGACACAAGAGGTTGGACTCTTTCATCAAAAGGGATTGCAATATTTGCACAAGACTAAAATAGCAGTAGGATTACCAATCTTAAAGGAGTAGAAAGCAAAATACAAGGCTTGCTAGACAGAGAAGCAAACAAGGATGCCATTTAACAAGGATCACACTGACTTGTGCAGATCTCAACCATCTGTCTCACTAAATGGTAGTAAGTATTTCATTATTTTCATTGATGATTATACTAGAATGTGCTGAAATTATTCATGAAGTTGAAGTCTGAGGTGGCTGAGTTATTTTCAAAGTTTAAGAGCTGGGTTGAAAATCAGAATGGCAGCAAGATTCAAGTGATTAGATCAGACAATGAAACAAAATATACATCACAGAGGTTCAAAGACTTCTATGAAAAGGCAAGGATTGATAATCAAACTTACTATTCCATACACATCATAACAAAATGGAATAAAAGGAAAAACAAGAGTATTATTAAAATGACAACATGCATGCTGCATGAGGAAAACTTGTCAAAGGAGTTTTGGACTGAAGTAGCAAACACACGTCTTTTTATTGAGTGGACCACCTAAAAAGGTATTAGAGAAGAAGACATCATATGAAGCATGGTTCAACACTAAACCAAATATGAGGAATTTGAAAGTGTTTGAATGTTTGTGTTTATCTCATGTTCCACAGGTGAAGAGAGACAAGTTGAGTGAGAAGCAAGAATTAGGAATCTTTGTTGGTTACAACATGATGTCTAAATCTTGTAGGATCTATCAACCTTACACAAAAAATGTTGTAATAAGCAGGGATGTTTAGTTTATTGAAGATGAGGAGTGAGATTGGGCAAAATAAGTAGAGGTGAAGCAACAAGAGTTCTCTCTAGATTCTGATGAATTGGTTGATGGTGAACCAGTTAGAGGAAATAGATTGCTTAGTGAAGTGTATATGTTTTGGAACCTGCAGGATATGAAGAAGTCAAAGGAGATCATGAATAGATGGAGACAATAAGGGAGGAGCTGGGCATGATAGAGAAAAATAAGACACACGAGTTAGTGGAGAGGCCAACAAATAGAAAAGTGATTGTGTAAAGTGGGTTTTTAGAACTAAACTGAATTTTGATGGTTCAATGAAGAAGTACAATGCTAGGTTGGCAGTGAAAGGTTATGCATAGGTTTGAAGAGTTAATTTCTCTGAAACCTTTGCACTAGTCTCAAGTGCACCAGCTAGATGTGAAGTCAATATTTTTGAATGTAGTGTTGAAAAAGAATATATGTAAAGCAACCAAAAGGTTTCATTTTATCAGCACAAGAGGAGAAAGTTTATTTTTTCAAAAAGGCTCTCTATGGTTTGAAGCAAGCTCTCAGGACTTAGTACAACAAGATAGATGAACATCTACTGACTCTGGACTTTGTTAAAAGTTTAAGTGAGTCTACTCTGTATGTGAAAGGTTCAAAAGATGGTCTGGTGATTGTGTCTCTCTTTGTAGATAACTTGCTTGTGATAGGTAGTGATACAATACAAATTGAAATATTCAAGCAAGATATGATGAGAGTGTTTGAGATGATAGATCTTGGCTTAGTGCATTACTTTCTAAGTATGGAGATCAAGCAAGATCTAAATGAGATAATTTTCTATCATAAGAATTATATGAAGGATATCATGAAGAAATTCAAGATGGAGGAGTGTAAGCTTGTAAGTACTCCAATGAACTAGAAGGAAAAGTTGCAAAAGATTGATAGAGAAGAACCTGTAAATGAGGAGTACAAAAGCCTTATTGGATGCCTCATGTATCTCACATTCACTAGGGTTGACATTATGTACACTTTAAGTGTATTATCTAGATTCCTTCATTGTGCAACTAAAACTCATATGATTGCTGCAAAGAGAGTTTTTAGATACCTAAAGGGCACATTGTCTTTTGGAATCAAGCTCAACAAAGTTGAGAAGTTTGAACTATAGGGTTTTTCAGATAGTGATTGGGTTGGGTAATTGAATGATATAAAGAGTACTTCGAGCTATTGTTTCATATTTGATTCAGCTTGTTTCTCTTGGTGTTCAAAGAAATAAGAGATAATGGCTCAGTCAATTGCAAAAGCTGAGTTTATTCAGCAACTGCAACTATGAACTAGGTAGGTAGCATGGTTGAAGAAGTCAATGTATAACTTGCATTTGAAGCAAGAAGGAAGTGTGAAAGTATTTGTGAATAATCAAGCCACTCTAGCTATCTCATTGAATCTTGTGTTTCATTGAAGGACCAAGCACTTTGGGATCAAGTATTATGTCTTAGAAGGTAGGTGAGGTGAAACTGATGCATTGTAGATCAAGTTGTAGAAATTTCATTAAATCATTTAATGTTAGTCGATTTGAGTTTCTTAGAAGCAAATTAGGTGTCTACAGCACTTGAGTCAGGAGGAGAATGTTAGTGTCTCAAGGCTGCAAAGTTTGTGTTTTTTTTGTCATGTTTAATTCAGTTTGAGTCAAGTCCTAGTTTTTAGAAAAGTAAGTTGCAGTTATTTATGCTTAAGTTGTAGTTTTTGTCAGCTTCTATTTTTAGGGATTAGTAGAGTCGAAATCTCTTTTTTTTTTTAAGTAAGTTACAGTTATGTACGTCTGTGTGTTTCTGCAATCCGTGAATGAAATTTCTGCTTCCCATTTTTCTGCACAGTTGATAAAACTTCCCATTTTTCTGCCTCTGTTTTTTCTGTATAATTGATAAAACATCAATGCAACAAGACAACATTACTTGGCATTTGAGAAAGCCTTCTACTAATAGTGTGTTAAGAATAATCAAATTTTCAATCATCAATTTGCCGTAAATTTTGTCTGTTTTCTTTGATAAACATTTTAGAATATATGACTGATTGCTGTTTTTGTTTTGTAGACCCTACATATGCAAACTGAGGGTGCAAAGAAAAACTTGACATTTGTCCCTCTTGCTCCAGCATGTGTGGTAAGCATGAATGCCCTTTTCTTCCCTATTTTATGGCTGTTGATTTAATATCTTTTTTTCTTTTTCTTGTTCTTAGGTCATTCGAGTTCTGACTCCTGTATTTGCTGCTAACCTTCCTCACAATCCCCTTCCGTGGAGGCTTTTTTGGATTCTGTTATTTTCAGCAATGACCTACATTATGCTTACAAGCCTTAAGGTTCTGATTGGCATGGTTCTTCAGAAGCATGCCAGATGGTATGTCAACCACTGTCAAAGGAGGAAGCATCATCTTCATGCAGATTAACTTAAGAAGCAACTAAATTAATTCAGTCTGCTTTTAAGGGATTCCTTTTCTTTTCCTGAAGAGCGCATGTGGAAAGATCATGTGATGAGGTGTTGACTCGGAAGTCATCAGCAACGCTTGACAATGAGAACATCTTTTGCAACTAATTGGTTTTTAAACTTGAAGGTGAGCCTGTATGCTTCCTTCTTTGCAGTTTTATTACTATAGTAAATAATTTTCAAGAGGAACATGAAGTTATTGGCTGTGTATTATTGATGGCATCCTTATGTTGTACCATAGTTATGCTCAAGCAAGAGTTCTCTGAAGCTGTGGAGCAGAGGCTTATGAATGAATGTATATCTAACATTATCCACACTCTTATTCTTCCTCTTTAAAATGCTACGGTACACTGTGCAAGGAATTTATTAACGAGAAAAACGAAATGTCTTTCTTTACATGTAAAGTTTATTGTAGCTTCCACCTTTTCTGTACTTTTATAAATCTTTCCTATAAAAGGCCATGCGTCAACTCCCTGTGCCATTTTTTCTTGCTCAACTACTGTGGCTTTGATGTCATTTCTGGTGCTTTAAATTAAAGCATTTTGGGCTCAACCGTGCAAAGCACTGGCCTATTATATAGTTCTCTGTAAAGGAAATTCGTGATAGCCTTTTCTTATTTGGCATGTTAGGCACATGTACAGGGGACAACATTTCTTCACGGGGGTTTCTTTTTGCACTCCCTTTTTTCCATTTGCTATCCTTCTTAATTTGTTTTAATTTTTTTTCACAAGTACCCTTATTAATATTAGGGTTAATTTTTTAAAATTAATATAATAATTACTGATGATTCTTATGCAATTGAATCAATCTCCTTTAAAAAACTAACATGTATCTTTTTTATCTGTATATATCAATCATTAAAGTCATTGTAACTATGTAAATATTACTAATAAATTATTTCATTGATCAATCTTTTTAGGTTTAGTTGAAGGATGGAGATTTACACAATAAATTTTCTTATTTATAATCTTATTCATGGTTAAAATGCTTTTTTTTCTTTAAAATTTAATTTCTAAGATTAACAAGCTTTTAGAAACAAAAGTCTAAAAACTTTTTATATTTATTGTTCTTATTCTTAAAATAATAAAGTGTTATTACTTGAACCATTTTTTATATCTGAGAATATATCCAATGGACATGTTTCTCATTTAAAGATTATGAGAACTTTAAAAATAAAAATATATAATTAAAGTCAGTTGATGATTATGTGATTAATTAAAGATGTCATGTACAATTTATATTTAATCTTAATTGTTTAAATAATATATACTAATCTATACAAGTCAATTATAGAAGTTTATTTTCCTCAAAATTCATTCTCACTTAATATGGCCTTGTGCTTTTCAGCATTTAAATTTCATTCATTGAAAACAAAGAAAAGATAGAGATGAATTGGAAATTAGTGGGACAATAAGAAATGAAAAAGGTACTTCATTGGTGAACAAAACTGAGATGGAAGTGAACGAAAGATAAAAAGAAGCCAGAAAGTGAATAGATAAAAAAGAGGGATGATTTAAATTTGCAATAAAAGTATTTTTTAAAATAAAATTTAATATAAAAGTGCAAATAGAAAACAAGTGGGTGCAAAAAGCAAATCACTTTCTTTTTAAGTGGGAAATCCAGCTCTCAAGTATCACAAATCAAGTTCATGAGAAAAAAAAAGTTCACAAGAAAAGCCTAACTTAATAATATAAAAGTTTAAATATATTGTTAATCCTTGTAAATGTGATTAAATTTAATTTCAGTCCTCGAATTATTTTTGCATATTTTAATTTTCATAAATTATAAAATTTTTAACAATATTTGTATCATTACTTAATAATGAAATAATATGTATTTAGATATGTTATGTCAATAATCGGATGACATGTGTGAGCGATAAGTCTACATCTATAATACATTATCAATATGCAGTGAGATAAACTATTTTTAAAAATTTTAGAATTTGTATCAATCAACCATTTTTCTTGGAAGATTAAAAAAATAAATTTAATAATCTTTATAATGACTAAAAATATATATTACCTTTATCAAAAACTTATTTGTTTTATTCACCATATAATAGAATTTTACAATTTTAATTAAAGTATTTTTAAGATTTAATAAATATATTCAGTGAGTGTAATTATTATTTTAAATCTTAACCATATACTTATATATGAATGTTAAAATTAAAAGTTAGTAGTTATATGACTATTTAAAACTCATGTAATTTTTATTTAAATTTGATCATTTAATAAAATTTAACTACTTCTATTTATTGTTCTTATTCTTACAATAATAAAATGTCATCACTTAAATACATCCGATGAACATAATCTTTATTTAATGATTATGAGAATTTAAATATAAAAAAGTTATGTACAATTTATATTTAATTTTAATTTAATTATACAAAATTATTTTTCTCAAAATTTATTCTCACTTAATATGACGTTGTTCTTATTTATATTAATTGATGCTAACCAGTATTGATATAGATTAAATAAGAAGTAGAAGATTATTTTCTTTTTAAACTAGAGCATATTATTTGTTGTATTTGCACAAATATAAGCTTGTGTAATTAACCTTCAGGTTTTCAATAAGGAGGGGGAAAACTTTATTTTATTTTCTTTTTAAATTGGATGTTATTCATTCGAAAATTGCTGGTAGTTTCAGTTAGCAAATTATTTGTCATTTTTGCTGTTTTAACTGATTTGTTTACGCTCTTGTTTCTCAATTCTGTTCATTTAGGAACTCATTTTTTTAATAATAATTTGTTATACGTTATGGTCTTAAGTAATGATATTTTATTAATCAAATTTTATGTTCCCATAATGAAAATAGAGGAATATAAAAGTCATGCATTTCAGTACTTTTTTTTTTTAAATAAAGACTAATGACATCACTTATAAGTTACAAATAAAGAATATTAAATATAAAGAGCATGATGAAGACATAGCAACATAGCAATCTTATAAACATTGAACATAAAAAAATAAAATATAAATCTCACTTCTCTCCCAGACAATCTAATCTCAAGAAGAAAAAAATGTGTTTTCTTTCAATAAAAAAGAGAGATAACGAAGAACCAAGAAATCATGAGAAAATCTCCCACCAAACAGCTTTTGATATAACTGAAAATCATTAGAAGCGTTAGTAACAAAGAAATCGACATAGTATCTGGCACTCTCAGAATCGACGTTTTGATTGGAATTGGTCTTTAAGAGCTCTGTCTTCCCACTCTAAATTGTTCCACCACTCATCTTCTCCATAGATTGCAATCAATGTGTCCTTGGCAGAGTTGGAATTCAAAGGAAGCTTCCTCAGCTTTCGGCAATGATTTACAGAGATGAATTTTAGGAAAGGAAAAGCCAATGCTCTCTTGTAAATGCTCTCTAGCTTCGGCAGGCCATAAAGGCGAAGATGTGTAAGATTTGAAAATATATGACTATCAGCCTCCTCTCTATCCGCCCCACCATCTTCCTTCACCACTTCTTCAATGGAATCACAATGCCAAACATTAAGATACTCAAGAAGCGGAGCATACCTCAGCCATGTCAAATGAGTTATTGATTTGCATTTACCAACAGTCACCCTTCCAAGGTTGTGAAGAGGGCATGGGCCAGAGATGGACGAACCTTCCACTATATTAATTCGGTAGAAACGCAGATATTCTAGATTCTTCATTGCCGACAAAGATTCAAATATCGACGCCATTTCAACTTGGTCCTCGATTCCATTAAGATAATATAATGTTGAGCAATTCCGCAATTTGGTGGAGTGAAGTAGTTTATGAATGCCAGCTAAGGTTGATAACTCGATCCACAGTTCCTCCAACTTCGGTAAGGACTCCAACTTCTCTAAGAATGTTTTCTCTTCCTCAAAGTATTCAAGTTTCCGATAATATACAAATCTAAACACTCTCAATCGCACCAAACTTTCTATCACTTCCAAAGGAATTATTTGAAGATCAAATTCAACATCTTCCATGAGCAAGACCCTTAAATTTTCCAAATTCTTCAGCTCAATTGGAAACCTTTCTTGTATGCTTGTCCTTGACAGATCAAGGAATTCCAAGTTGTTTAACTTGCCAATTTCCGAGGGAAGATGCTTAATTCGGATTCTTGACAGATCCAAGACTTTCAGTTTCGACATAAATTGGAGATTTGAATACTGATTAATGTTTTTCCTTATACATAAAGTGATGAGATTTGGACACAATGGCACTCGCCAACTTTCTCCAGCATTTATAATTGAAATCCTCTCTACAGCATTTAATCTTTCAACATTCGTTTCTGATTTTATTGCTAATGCTTCTCCATCAACAATGACTCTGTCTTTATTTACATCTTGATCACGGAATAACCATAATGCCATATCTCTGATCACATCATGCATCTTAATGGAAGGTGAGTCATAAAAATCATCTTCAACAACGCCCTCCAACAGACATGAAAGCTTTAGTTTTTCAACAATAGATTTTCCTTGCACATGCATGTCATATATACTCTTCTTTGTCTTATCTTTATCAAGAAATCCCTCTCCTATCCATCGATAAACAAGATCATCAACTTTAATTTCAAAATCTTCTGGATATAATGCACAGTATAAGGAGCACTTTCGGTGTGTTTCGTCTGGGAGTTTGTCGTAACTGAACTTGAGAACACCAAACACTTTCTCTTCCAAAACGGGACCTACCCAACAAGAACTCCTTAGATCACTTGTGGCCTGCCTCCATGCTTCAACACTTCTCACTCCAGCCATGGCACTTCCCACTGTAATAAGTGCTAATGGCAATCCTCCACATTCTTTAGCCATCTCCCGTGCTAGCTTTTCAATTTCTCCATGACACTTCCATGTGTCTTCACCTACTTTTTTACAAAACAAATTAAATGCTTCTTGCTCTGATAGACATTCCACCTTGAGTTTCTTCTCAGCTTGCATTTTAGCACACACATCCTCAAACCGTGTGGTGAACAATACTTTTGATTGGTTATTAGTTTCCTTCGGAAGTGGCACTCCCACCATTTCTAGTTCCAAACTTTTCCACAGATCGTCTACCATGAATACAAATTTCTTTTGCTTCAGGACTTGATAAATCCTTGCCACTTTTTGATCTTGACTACTTCTGTTCCAAAAGTTGTCATCAATCTGTAACCTGTTTCGAATATCATTCATAATCCTATTGATATCACAATCTCTAGAAACTACGACCCACAACACTACATCAAAGTGGAGGTTCCGTTTTCCAAATTCATTATGAATTCTTTTCATAAGAGTGGTTTTTCCCGCTCCACCCATTCCATACAAACCAATGATGCCTATATTTTCATCTTCAATACTATTCCAAACTTGATTGAGCATCAAATCCAAGCCCACAGTCTCAACAGAGGGCATTTCATCGACTGGCTTAGGTGGTAGTTTATAAGCAATATGGACGCTACCAAAATGTTCCCCTCTAGTCAACAGTTCATTCACATATTTGAGCATATGAACGATTCTTTTTCCAGACTTGTATCTTAACACACAATTCTTTGGGCAACAACCACTCAGACATTTATTATTGGAAATTTTTTGATGAACTCTATTAATTTCCGTCATTTCCTCCTGCAAGAACATGCGGATAAGCGTGAATCATGATTAATATATTTTTTAAAAAAATTATTTATTGTTTTATTTGCCTTTTAATCTCTAACACAATTATTGAGAGATTTAAATCTCTTTATCTATCCATCGCCAACGTATAATGTGTTGATTACATTTTATAATTTAAAGCATTTACTCATTTTTCTAACAACATCGTAATATTTTAAAAACAATCTTTACACATTTTCGAGGATTGAAATTGGCAAATCACACATAGACTTCTGTACTTGGTGAGTGTATAAAAAATTCTTAAATTATATGGACAAATCAAATAATGTGTTAATTGTTCTAATACAAAGAATTACTTTTGTTTACAAAAAAATAATATTTTTATTCTTAAAGGTTAAGGTTAATTTTGATATCGTTCTTTACTTTTTATTTAATTTAATATTCTTATATTTATTTTTTATCAATTTTTTTAAGGATATTAAATATCGTTGAAAAATAACTTTCAATTTAATTGAGAGTTTTTCTAAACATTATATTATAATTGATTTGTGGGCATCAAAAAATTTATGCATAAAATCCTAATTTTGGACTACCATTTTTTTTCTTCTTTCAATGATTATTAAAATTCTTCGAAAGATTCTTTCAGATGTTGAGTTATGATTAGTTAAAACTTTGTTGAATATATTAGTTAAAACAATGGATTGAATCAAATTATTTTATGAGCCATTTTGCTTCAAACAAAAATCTAATATAAAAAATTTGATGGGTCATCGTGACCTGGTTCATTATTCCATAAAGAAACTTAGTGTTTAACAAAATTTTAAAAAAAATTTAACATTTTTATAACAAAAAGAAATAGCTTACTACATAAATAAAAATTAGAGGACTGATTTAAATTAAAAAAATAAAGAATGAAAACTAAATTAACCTTAAACTTAAAGGGAAAAAAATACTATTTTTTTTCCTTATATATCTCTATTCTTTTAAAAGCTATAGCATATAAAAAGAAATCATATATTGAATATTAATTAGTGTCTCATATCCATTCTCAAATAAACTTTTAGTGGGAGGGTGTAAAGGTTAAGAGAAGCTAAGAAGAGAAGAGAGGGACCATGATGAGAGAAATAAGATGCAACAAAACAAAAGAAGAAGGAAAAAAAAAAAGAAATAGAGAATGGAGAGGACATTGAGAACTTGAAAGAGACCTAAAGAAATTGGAAGAAACTCAAATTTTGCTTAAGGAAAAGTAGATAGACAGCTTAGAGCGCTGGAAGAAGCTTGAAGAAGCAATAAAAGAATGCAGAAAACGAAGCATTGGTTGATAAAGAGAGATACAAATTAGAGTACATGACTATTCACAAATTTTATTTTATATTTTAGTTTATGAATTCAAAATGAATTAATTGCACCTTTTCTTTTCTTTTCAAAATTGTAGTTAAGTATATGTCCAACACGTTAAGTAATGTTTACTAATCTGGCTTAAATTGTATTAAAAATCCCAATTAATTAGATAATTTATTAAAAAATATTGATTTTTCTTTTTACTAATATAAAAATATTGATTTGATTTAACGTAAAAGTTCATAAGACATAAAAAGGTCAAGTGATTGTATTAAAAAATATACTCATTTAAAAAAAATAAATGAAATTTATAATATAAAGTAGTTAGATTTTTAGGAATTGATTATATTTAATAATGGTTTAAAATTTTATTGTAAGATCAACGTCTAACAAAGAGTTGTGAATTTAACTTTTTATATATTTGTTATAATGCCTTAGATTTTCCATAACCAAATTTTATTTTCTATCATTCTTTTTATAAGACACTATTAATTAAATTATATAAATTAATAAAAATAATTTAATTAATTTTTTGATTGTATAAAAATATTATATTTTTTTAAATATTATTGAACCTATCTTTACTATCAACATTTATTTTAACTGGTTCTAATTAATATTTTTATTAAATTTATTTACAAAAAAATAATAATAAATACTCCATAAAAATTATTAAATTGACTTATGATAAAAATCAGTAAAGTCTTCTAAATTTTGTCTTATAAAAAACTTAAAAGAAGTAATTTCAATTATTTGTTATTGTGGCATTCTTTTACTTAACAAATTTCTAAATTTTATCACTCTTAAAGTTTCACCTTGTCATTGAATACAATATGTTTAAGATAACAAATGTTTTCATCCCTCAATCTATTTATTTGAATTGAACAAAGTGGATGAATCTTGACTAATATTATAATTTTTTAACTGTTCATGCATATAATTTTTATCAATTGAATAATTATTTGTTAGCATTTCTATTGCTTAACTATTCAAATTTTAAATGTATACAGTTGTAACTTTATTGTTTATTTTTTATGAATTAAATTTTATGAAAACAGGCTGAAATGCATATGATTTTTCAAAATATATCTTTATTATTAAGCAAAGAAGAAATTTTTTTTCTCATACTCTGCTTTATTTTTGTTTCATTACTTTTTCTATTATTTACAAATAGTTGCAATTAGGTGAGAAGAAAAAGTAACCATAGAAGTGAATTTTTGAAAATAAGAAAAAGGGGTATTTAAAGTTTAATATGAAATGAAATGAGCAAAGAATTGAATGGACAAATGGACCTACCTCTTGAAGATGATGAATTGTTTGCAGCCAACCATTAACTTCATTTGTCCTTAGCCTCTCTGATGTGGCCTCAGCTTCATCTATTCTTATTTGAACGTCTCTGCTCAAGTTTTGAAGAGCATCAAACTTCATTTGCAGTGATGTTAGATTCTCCTCCATCTTGTAAACATATGCTGCATGGACTTTACCACAACGGAACAAACAAGTAGCAGCATCCCAAAGCGTTCCTACCAACTCCATCACTGTGATCTACTTCTTCAGATCATCAAGGCTTCAACCGTTGTCATTTATGCCTTCCATCTTTTCTCCAATACTTCCAGCCAAGTTGAAAATGGTGTTCAACTTTTGCTTAAAAGACAAAGACAGAGGTGGACTTGCTATTTAATTACTTTTTCTTTTCTCTCTCTCATCATTCAGAAATTGGATGCGGGTTGTCTTTTCCGGAGGGTCTATCGTTAGTAATTTTAGAAAATACAATGTCACTCTATTTCAAACTACCTAGTAGTATTAAGAAAATATAAAAATATACTTTTAATTCTTAAAAATATTACTAAATTCATTTTAATTCTTATATATTTAAAATTTTTAAATCATTCATCTAATTACTTTCATGTAGTATATATATATATATATATATATATATATATATATCACAACAATCACTTTATATGTCATTTAAAAATAGTTATGGACAAAAAAACATACTTATAATGCATTGATTATAATGATAATTTTTAAAAAATTTAAAATTTTACGACGATCAAAATAATAAAAAAAAATTATCACAATCATAGGAAATAAAAATATGTTTACATTAGAAAAAAATAAGTAGACAATCGAACCTTTAGAAATATGACAATAGATAAGATTTTGGTATAGAATATTGATATTCTCGTATTTTAAAGAAATTATCTGTATATTTTCTGTGTTTATTGGATAACGCCTTTAATTTTCATCCTCGTATATTATCTAAAATATTATTTCTCTTAATATTTTTTATAACCTAAAAAAATTAATTTAGCAATCAATTGACAACCAAAAATTGCAATCACCATGTCAATTGCTAAATTTCAATCAGTTACAAATTCAATCACAAAAATATAATTAATTTAATATTCACAAATTTGATCATTAACTGCAATTGACAAAGTAATAACTACAAATTTAGTCAATAAATTGTAACTATCGAATGAATCACAAAATTTGATCACTAAATGTTACAGATACGGTAGTCACAACTGTAATAACTAAATTTTACTAAAATCGATTAAAATTCAGTCTCTCACCACTATATTAAAATATTCATTTCAAAATTTATTTAACAAAACCTACTTATAATTTTTAAAAATAACATTTTAAGACCACGTTATTTGTAACGATTGAAGATATCTAACAAGCATTCAAGGGACTAAATTTCAGATGCCCAATATCATATAGATTCAGTAATTGTCCAAGTTGTCAATCATAGAAAGAAAAAAAAAACAGGTCACTGAGGTACACTGACCAACACTACAAGAGGTACACTGAGGTATAATCAAATGGGTTTCTTCATTTATATATAACAGTGTGTGGTTGATCCCTTGAATTGAGGATCCAATGCATGGTGGAAGCCACCTCATATATTGGTACTAAAGAGACTTCCACCGGGTGGCATCAATTCATTGAATAAAGGTTTTGATACCATCAAGCCAAATGGTTTTATTCCATTGCAAATAAGATAAACAAATGGTTTTGATATCATTCTTTACCTTTTATTTATTTAATATTCTTATATTTATTTTTTATCAAGTTATTTTTTTTTGTTTTAAAGATATTAAATATCGTTGAAAAATAACTTTAACTTTATTTAAGAGTTTATCTAAACATTATATTATAATTGATGTGTGGATATCAAAAACTTTATTCATAAAATCCTAATTTTGGACTACCATTTTTTTTTCTTTCAATGATTATTAAAATTCTTTGAAAGATTCTTTTAGATGTTGAGTTATAATTAGTTAAAAGTTTGTTGAATTTATTACTCAATAACGATGGATTGAATCAAATTATTTTATGAACTATTTTGCTTCAAACAAAAATCTCTATATTTTTTCAATGATTGATGTTTACCAATCTGGCTTATGTTGTATTAAAAATCTCATTTAATTAGATAATTTATTAAAAAAACATTGATTTTTCTTTTTACTAATAAAAAATATTGATTTAATTTATCGTAAAAGTTCATAAGACATAAAAAAGTCAAGTAATTATATTAAAAAAATATACTCATCTTAAAATAAATAAATAAATAAAATTTATAATATAAAATAGTTAGATTTTTAGGAATTGATTATATTTAATAATGGTTTGAAATTTTATTGTAATATCAACGTCTAATAAAGAGTTGTCAATTCAACTTTTTATATATTTGTTACAATGTCTTAGATTTTCCATAACCAACGATAAATTTATATAATAAATAATAATCAAATTTTATTTTCTATCATTATCTTTATAAGACACTATTAATTAAATTATATAAATTAATAAAAATAATTTAATTAATTTCTTGATTGTATAAAAATATTATAAATTTAAGTTTTTTTACATATTATTGAACCTATCCCTATTATTAACATTTATTTTAATTGGTTCTAATTAATATTTTTTTAATTTTATTTAAAAAAAAATAATAAATACTTCATAAAATTATTAAATTGACTTATGATAAAAATCAGTAAAGTCTTCTAAATTTTGTCTTATAAAGAACTAAAAGAAGTAATTTCAATTATTTATTATTGTGGCATTTTTTTACTTAATAAAGTTCTAAATTTCATCACTCTCAAAGTTTTACCTTGTCATTGAATACAATATCCTTATGATAACAAATGTTTTCACTCCTCAATCTATTTATTTGAATTGAACGAAGAAGATGAATCTTCACTGATATTATAATTTTTTAACTGTTCATGCATATAATTTTTATCAATTGAATAATATTTTGTTATCATTTCTGTTGTTTAGCTATTCAAATTTTAAATGTACACAATTGTAACTTTATTATTTATTTTTTATGAATTAAATTTTATGAAAATAGGCTGAAAATGCATATTATTATTCAAAATATATCTTTATTATTAAGCAAAGAAGAATTATTTTTTTTCTCATACTCTCTCTGCTTTATTTTTGTTTCATTACTTTTTCTATTATTTCAATTACTGTAACATGTTAAAATAAAATATATATAGTTAATTTGTATTTATCTAAAAATTAACAATATTATATAAATTGTTTCGATGTTACAAAAACAGTTGCAATTAGATGAGTAAAAAAAGTAACCATAGAAGTGAATTTTTGAAAATAAGAAAAAGGAGTATTTAAAGTTTAATATGAAATGAAATGAGCAAAGAAGTGAATGGACAAATGGATATACCTCTTGGAGATGATGAATTCCTTGCAGCCAACCCTTTACTTCATTTGTCCTTAGCCTCTCTGATGTGGCCTCGGCTTCATCTATTCTTATTTGAACGTCTCTGCTCATGTTTTGAAGAGCATCACACTTTGTTTGCAGTGATGTTAGATTCTCCTTCATCTTGTAAACATATGCTGAATGGACTTTACCACAACGAAACAAACAAGTAACAGCATCCCGAAGAAGCGTTCCTACCAACTCCATCACTGTGATCTACTTCTTCAGATTATCAAGGCTTCAACCGTTGTCATTTATGCCTTCCATCTTTCTCCAATACTTGCAGCCAAGTTGAGAGTGGTGTTCAACTTTTGCTTTAAGGACAGACGAAGACTTGAAGGTGGACTTGCTATTTAATAACTTTTCTTTTCTCTCTCTTATCATTGGGAAATTGGATGCCAGTTGTCTTTGGAGGAGGGTCTATTGTTGAGGATACAATGCATGGTGGAAGGCACCTCATATATTGGTATTTGGTAGTGTTGGGACGTGGCTTGCACGCAACTAACCGTCCATGATCCTATAAGTGGAAATTGATGCAGGTATAACCCATTATCGACTGAATTAGCTAATAAGCGTTATTGAAATATTATAATTTTTAAATTTTAAATAATAATATATGATAAAAAATATTCATGTAAATTTAAAAAAATTTATATTTAATATAAAATTTTAGATAAATTACCTCTAATAAATAAAATAATAATAAATTATAATTCGTTAGAGGCAAGTTAAATAAAAAATTTATATCAAAGTGTAAAATTTTTTTACACTCACTTATAATATGTTATTAATATTTTTAATAATTTTTTAATCAACATTCCTAGAGTATTGTTTAATAAAATTTATTAAATTGTGTAGAAAAAATATATTAAATTGTGAGAGTACGAAGAATATAGAAAGATATAACATTATTGGTATCAGCAAGCTCAATGGTGTTATTCCATAGCAAATAACATAAATAAATTTTGATAATAATGTAAAGGGTGTTTACATAAGTCTCAACGGAATGCACTAACGTTGGTGCTCTTAAAAAATATAAGTGCAAGGATTGCCGAAGAAAAGTTCAACTACTAAGTTAGCACATTGATTTAAGCTAACAGGTTAACATACATAATTAGCATAACCCTTTTATTTTAATCCCTTTGTTTGAATTTCTATGCTCATACCTTCAAGCAATCGAAAAACCATGCACATCACATCGCTGTCTTAATTTCATGAATTTTATCATTATGCTCAATAAAAAAAAAGTATAATTTTTTTAATGCCTTTCACTTAAAATAGTTGAATAATTTAGGAACCACATTCTCAATTTTACAAAATTTATATGATATTTTAAGTTCAATACAATAACATATATTCCATTTTTATTACGGAATAACTCTTGATTTACTTTCTAAAATTTTCCTTTATATTACAAGTATGAATCTTACTATTGGATTAAAATATTTTGTGAGTCATTATTTTTTTTGATAAGTTGTGCATTTTTTTCAATATTAAGTGTCCCATTTTAATATGGTATGTTTATTAAAATTATTTTTATTTCTTAAGATAAATTAATTTTTAATATTTGTTGCAATAATATTTTTTCTTAATTTGAATTTAATTTTTAATTATGACATACCATATTAATAAATGTGAGTCTTAATTTAAATATATTTTTTAATTTTAAAACTTTATCTCTAATTTATTTTATATAAAAATAATTTATAAAATAAAATTTATTTATTAACATAAATTTTATTATTATTTTTTCTTAATTTTTTAAAATTGTTTTAAATATAATTTTTAAAAAAATTAAAAACCAAAATAAAAATAAATTTAATATCAAAGAAAATTTAGTTCCATTTTATTAGAATATTGTAGAAAAAATAAATATTAAAAATATTTTCTTAAATAACTTTATTCAACTGAGTTAGTCAACAACTCTAATTTAGATAAAAATAATAGATAAACAGAACAGAATAAGAAGGTTAGAAAATGGATGTCTAAATTTGGATGTAAAAGTGAAGAAGTAAAGTTGTAATTAGCACAACGACATGAAAGGTGAAGAGATTTGATTGGAACAAGACAATATATATTCAATTAGATGGTTTATCTTATGTTATAAAATATTATTAATTAATTAATTGAATAATATTTTTTATTAACTTTTATAATATTATGAACACATTAAATTTTATAATTTTAAATTATTATATTTTATATTTTCTATCCTTTAAAATACATTTAAAAATAATAATAATATCATTTTGCTTTAGATATGTTTTGCCTTTCAAAATATATTATTATTTATTTTGATTCTTTTAAAATATTTTTTAAAATGTTATGTTTTTAAAATTATTGATTTTAATTTTTTTCACCTTCTAATTTTTATATAAAAAATAACGTAATAAAAATTAATACACAATAATATTTAAGTTAACTATGTTATCATTTAATAATAATTAACAATTAACTAAAAAAATTATAAAATAGTTTTACAAAAATTAAATTAAAATATTATACATTTTAAGATGTTAAAAATATATTTAAAGTTATTATTTATTGTAATTATAATGTCTGTGTGACCTCAGCCTATATAATTGTAAGGTGTCATCAGAGTGTGAATTTGGTTAGAGCGAAGTGAAGTATCTACCAATGCCCCAAATGCCATGGCCACTAACCACACATACATATATTCATGTTCTTCATTCACTACTTTCTGTCTTCTTTCTTCATTCACTACCAATGCCCCAAATGCCATGAGTGGCTGCTGTTTTTGTTATGTAGACCCTACATATGCAAACTGAAACTTACATTCGTCCCTCTTGCTCTAGCGTGTGTGGTAAGCATGAATGCCCTTTTCTTCCCTATTTTATGGCTGCTGATTTAATATCTTTTTTTTATTTTTCTTGTTCTTAGGTCATTCGAGTTCTGACTCCTGTATTTGCTGCCAACCTTCCTTACAATCCCCTTCAGTGGAGGCTTTTTTGGATTCTGTTATTTTCAGCAATGACCTACATTATTCTCACAAGCCTTAAGATTCTAATTGGCATGGTTCTACAGAAGCATGCCAGATGGTATGTCAACCGCTGTCAAAGGAGCAAGCACCATCTTCATGCAGATTAATTTAAGACGCAACTAAATTAATTCAGTCTGCTTTTAAGGTTCTTTTCCTGAAGAGCGTATGTGGAAAGATCCTGTGATAAACAACGCTTGACAATGAGAACAACTTTTGCAACCAATTGGTTTTTAAACTTGATGGTGAGCCTATAGGTGGTTCCTCATTTGCAGTTTTATTAGTACAGTAAATAATTTTCCAAAAGAGGAACATGAAGTTATTGGCTGTGCATTGTTGATGTGATGTCCAGCACATTTCGGTGATTCGGTGCCATTTTTTTTACTTCCTAAACAAATAAATAATATTTTAATAAATAAATAGTAACTCCATTTGGCTATAAATAACCGTGAGGAATGAAATCAGAAGATGCATCGCAAGAGTGTTTATCAAGCATTGATAGAATTCTAGTGAGAGAAAAATAGAGTGTTGAGTAAATCCTAAGAGTGTGAGAAAAATATACTGGGGTGGATATCATCTCTATTTCTTCTTGGTATTACAAAATTTGTAATATTTGAATAGGAAGTGGGTCTCACTGGGTACACTATATTTTACATCTCTTGTGTGATAGAGTGTTGAAAGGATATTGTAAATATCTCGAGATATAGTGGAATATTTTTCAGAGTTTGTCCGTGGTTTTTCTTCCACATTGGAGGTTTTCCACGTTAAATATTGGTGTTCTTTATCTGTTTATTTTATTCAGTTAGAATAATTCTTAGTATGCTCTGTGGTTGCAGTTTAGTCTGATCTTCCACATCAGAAAAGAATTATTTCTGTTATCCTTCCGTGGCTGATTGTTGGATTGCTGGAGAAGTGTGTATTTGTATTAGTGTTGTAACTGGAAAGGTTCTGGCTAAGGAAAGACTTGGTATTGAAGTGATTCGTTGTGATCCACCTCTCTTTCCTGGGAAGTATTCCAGTGCACACTTTACAAGTTACACCGCTGCGCTGCTAGATCTATTTATTAGGTCTGAATTGTTGCTCGCCAGTTTACGTCAGAATTTTAATTTACACATCCAAGTTATTCCGCATTTGAGCCCAACAAGTGGTATCAGAGCTTAAGTTGGGCTCTGTATTACCGAGTGTAAATTAAATGGAGGAGAACGTAGGTACTATGGTGAAGCTGACAGCAACAAACTACTCCATTTGGAAGCCAAAAATGGAGGACATACTTTTCTACAAGGACTTGTATGATCCTGTGGAAAAGGGAGATCAAAAGCCAGAAGACGTGAAGGATGAGGATTGGAAAAAGACACACCGGAAGGCCGTCAGTTTAATTAGGCAGTGGGTGGATATCAACATATTCCACCATGTTGCCACAGAGACGAATGCCCAGACTCTGTGGAACAAAATTGAACAAATGTATCAGAGGAAGACTGCACAGAATAAAGCTTTCGTTATTCGGAAGCTGGTGAATTTAAAATATCAGGATGGAAGATCAATTGCAGAACACTTGAATGATTTCCAACACATAGTAAACCAGCTAGTTACCATGGAGATAAAACTTGATGAAGAATTGCAGGCGCTGTTACTTTTGAGTTCTTTACCAGATAGCTGGGAGACTCTGGTGGTGTCATTAAGCAACTCTGCTCCTGAAGGAAAATTGACTTTGTCTCAAGTCAAAGACAGCATGTTTAATGAAGAAACAAGGAGAAAAGACTCTGGGGCAAGCAATTCCCATGCCCTTGTCACAGAGAACAGGGGGAGAAGTAAGAGCAGAGGACGAAGTAACAAATCCAAAGATAAGTCACAGTCTCAGCCCAGAAGAAAATTTAAGTGTTACCACTGCGGTGAAGAAGGGCACATCAAAAGAAACTGTAAAGCCTGGAAGAACAGAGAGAAGAAAGACCGACGAAACTCTAAATCGGATGACGATGAAAATACTGCATCCCCTGTGACAACTGGAGATGTGGTAGTACTCTCTGTTGAAGAAGAAGAAGAGTGTCAAGTTACAGACTCATGTGATGAATGAGTCATTGACTCAGCAGCATCTTATCATGCAACTTCTCACAAGGACTTCTTTACTGTGTACAAAGCAGGAGACTTTGGTAAAGTAAAGATGGGCAATAGCTGTATCGCAGATATTGTGGGAATTGGTGATGTGTGCATTCAAACCAATACAGGATGCACAATAACACTAAAAGATGTGCGTCATGTGCCAGATCTGCGTCTGAATTTGATCTCTGTGCGTGCTTTGGATCTAGCTGATTACGACAGCCATTTTGGTAACG